AGGCGAGTGCTCTCTGCCTCTGAGCCACAACCCAGCCCAAGGCAAGCAATATCTAAAGCACAGACCTTCAGAGTCCAAAACTTATGTAGGCCAGAAATTTGGTGTTTTTGTTTTGTTTTTCCTCCTCCTGCTTTTTGGAGTGCTGGGCATAGAATCCAAGGCCTTGCACATGCTAAGCAAGTGCTCTACCAGAGCAAAATCTCCAGCCCTTGGGTTCTTGAGGACAAAGCCTCTAAGCCAGGGAATACCCACTTCTCAATTCTGACAGAATATTAAAATTTCCCCTTAAGACAGATGAATAATGATAATGAAACAAATGCAAAAGAATTTTCTGGCTTGGGTTGTTCCATAGTGGTAGAGCACATGCCCAGCATGTGTGAAATCCTGGGTTCAATTCACAGTATCTCAAAAAGCTGAAAACAAAACCAAATTCAAGTTGCATTGTGATTTACAGTATACAAAGCCTTTATTTATTTATTGACTTTAACTCAGGGGGACTGGGCCACTGAGCCACATCCCCAGCCCAATTTTGTTATTTTATTTAGAGACAGGGTCTCACTGAGTTGTTTAGTGCCTCGCTTTTGCTGAGACTAACTCTGAACTCATGATCCTCCTGCCTCAGCCTCCCAAGCCACTGGGATTATAGATATGTGTATCATGCCTGGCCTTTATTTACTCTTTAAGAGAACCCTGAGGAGTAAGTTTTTAAATTATTATCTTATTATTATTTCTACTGCATGTGAGCATACTAAGGCATAGGATGATTAAGTAACTAAATGACAAGCATCAGATACCACACAGAAGGCACATGGGAAGTTGGCTCAGTGTCTGAGTGCTTGCCTAGCATGCACAGGGTCCTGAGTTCAAGCACAACAAACAAACTAACACAAAACCTCAATAAATAATCTGATGAATGAAACAAAAAGGAAAAAAATGGGACCAGACTCATACCCAGTTCTTGCTATTATCCTTACTGTCTGCATTCCCCCATGCTATCCTTTGTGACCTTCCAAGAAGGTCCCAGGCTCCTATGAGAGTGCGCCTTGTCTCTGCCAGGGAGAGCTGGAATTAGGCTTTCAAATATCACCTCTTTGTTGTGCAAATGTGAAATATATGTCTTGAAATACCAAGACGGAAAATAATGGCATTTTACTTCTGGCTCTTAAAATATGCTCTGTTCCAAAAGGTTGAATCTATAAACATTACTGGAAATGTGGGAATGGATGCCAGGAATTCCTGAACTCCATGTCTGCCTGGGCCAGGTTAAGTCTGCTGCTCCTATAGATTACTGGTTGAGAAATATTGCTATTGGATGTTAGTTGGAAATTTTTAGCACTTTGAAAATATGACTCCATTAGGAGAGTCTTGATGAGAGTCATACAGGCAGCATTTAAATATTTCTATTGACCCCAGCTTTGTGGTGTGGCCAGAAGCCCTAGCCTGAGCACTTACATTATTTGTCTGTTTCCCCAACTTGAGTTGGATCAATCTCTGGAGTATATGAAATTTACTGAAGTTGTCCTCTCATGAAACAGACCACAGGATTAAAAAGGGGAATAGACATTTCCAGTCTGAGTTTTAATGCTTCCAATAATGATTATGCACGTTAGGAGGAAAAGTTGCAAAGCATTCCTGAAAGTGTGCCTAAGAAGACAGAGCAAAGATGGAGGAGCAGGCTTTTACCTGGCTGTTGCCTCGCCTCTTCCCTTTTAGAATCAGAAAAAATCTTTAACCTGAATCAGACTTTTCAGAAGCTATGCTAAGGGATAATGATTCCCTCTGCATATATCTCAGTGTTTTTTGAAGAATGATGATAACAACAAAGACAACAATGGCTACATGTGAGTAAGTATTGCAATACAAGGGTACAGAATGCAGCTGGGATGGAAATTAATTTAGTGAAGTCTTCATGGTCTCTCCAAAAACAACTGACTGAACAACAACAACAAAAAAGATACTTTCCTGAATTAATCTTAGGTGTTAATTACATCATTTGATTTTATCCATATTACTTGATCAAAAAGAAGTGATTGCATATGCTAAATATGTCTATAACGAAAAGTACATTGAGGGAAGGAGAGAGGAAAGATAAACATAGGGTGTGAAAGCCCAGGAAAGAAAAACTATAGCAGTCTTATTTATGAATTGATAAATTCAAGATGACTGTTTAGAATTTTGATATAAATAGGAAAACTCATGTATCTGAGGGTAAAGGGACAAAGCTCAGGATACCAAACTTCCCATGTGCTCCAATAACCTCCCATGGAATAAATGTAATTAGTGTTTTCTTGGCAAAGAGTAGAAGCTGTTAAATTTAGGTAACCACAAGGCTCCTGAAATGCCATGTCTGCAGTCCCTGGCAACATCAGACACTCTTAATTTTCACATTTATATGTTTTAGAAAATAAATATTAAGACAGAACTCAGCCTTTGACCGAGTTCCTATTTTCTAAGGAATGTCTGCATGGCAGACTGAAGTGTATAAAGAGGAGGCTGGCTAGGATTCTTGTAGCTATTGGACTTAGCATGCTTAATAATAGAGTTTTCCACACAACAGTCAAGAAAATGGAAGTGCCTAGTGGATGAAGGTGTCCTCTCCGTCCAGCCTCTCATAGCCAGTCTCCAAGATAGCACTGCCTGTGCCTGGTCTTTAGGCCTGGAGGTGGTAAAGGGCAAGAGAAGACTAAAACAGGGAACCACACAGCCGAGGACTGGAAGGGAGCAGCCTCAGTTAAGACACAATGTTCCTAAATTGCCTACTTTTGGCTGACAGATGCTCCCAGCTGGCCCATGTGCAAGCCTGTAACTTGCAAAGCAGGCTGAAAAGATGGTCTTATTTGCCAAAACCAAACCGAGTAGGAAGCTAGCAGGCAGAGCTAAGAGATCTGGTGCATTCTGTTGATTGCTTTTAATTCCCTGCCTACTTTGGGAAACCAAACTGGGTCTAGGAGAAATCGTGTGACTATTTTAATGATGTTCTCCATCTGAATAGTCTGGGTGTGGGTTATAGAGTGAAAAATCCCATCACCTTAATAGCATACTTGGAATGTACCTTTAAAGAGAACCTCCCCTGGCTTTATCAATCAGACAATAGTGCAGCACTGGCATTGCCTGGAAACTTGGTAGAAATGTAAATTCTTGGGCCCTACCCCAGACCTATAGATATAGCCCCCTGGAAGTAGGCTGATAAACCTTCCAGGTGATTCTGATCAACAGAATTTGAGAACTACTGCTTTAGATTAATCCAGTCAGGTAAAACCTGGCCATTAGAACTGGTAGGATAGCTACTTACCAAGGACTGGGGGAAAGGAAGTGAAGAAAAAGAGAGAGTGTATATGGGCAAGAGAGTGCACACACTAGTGAAGGTTGGTGTTCACTCTCCTGATGGTCATCCTAGTATTTAGTGGGGTATTTAGTGGGGATTAAACACAGGGGCACTCTGCCACTGAGCTACATTCCCAGCCCATGCCCCCTCCACCACCACAACATTTTTGAGACAGATTATTGTTAAGTTCCTGAGGCTGGACTTGAACTTGCAGTCTTCCTGTCTCACCCTCCTAAATTACTGGAATTACAGACATATAACCCCAGGCCGGGCCCTGATGGCCATCTTTATGATCTAACTAAGGTGTTTTCCAAACTGTGACCCAAATGGGGTAATGATGTAAGACTTGCTAGGGGAAAAGGAATGCCGTGAGAGAACATGGTAAAGTTTCTACCAATTTTGTGATCTTTAGGAGGAAGTGTCCAAATCAGGAAAAATATCTAACAGTGGTGGGTGAAGGAAGGAGTTATTGTTTCTGTCCCAGCACAGGTCTGTTTTGTACACAAGTCTCCTAATCATTTAAAACTTCTTCATTGTTCTATCTAGAGACATGGAAAGAGCAAAAAGTGGAGTGGGCATGAGGGAGGGGAAGAGTAAGAAGGTGGGCTGAAGCAGGCCATTTACTGAACTCAACCTTGCAGAGGAAGATTCCTGAAAGTCACTTGTCCAACTAACATGAGATAATGGTTATCTCATCATCCTCAAGCTACAGTTGACTGAGTAGTCTCCCACCTGCTAAGTAACATGCTAAGTATTTTGTGTGTATACTTTTACCACCCTGTAAGCTTGATGGTATTACATCAATGTACACAGTTCAAAGAGGTAAAGTAGCAGGTCCAATGTTAGAAAGGAAATAGAGGCTAAAATAGTATTCTCTTCCAGGTCTCACTTCCCCCTTCTTTGTCATTTGACAATATTGCTTACAACATTCTATGTGGTGATTTCCACACACCCTGTGCCTAGGTGTTAAGGTATTCCCTGTATCTCAGGGAAGTTCACCCTTGAGCACCTAGAATGTAGCTGGCACCAGAGTCTAGTGTTCCCTCACTAGTTTTTCAGCTGGACCTAGTCCTATCCCCCAGGTCATGTCTATTCTCATTTTTACACCGTCAGTCCTTTGAATGTCTACAAGAGTTCTAGGAATCCTTGCCTCCTTAGGCTGAAGAGCCTGGGTTCCTTTCACTGCTCTTCATTTTCTTTTCTAGGAAGGCAGAGAGGCTCTCATGCTGAGGCCATGAAGAGCAGTAGTCTTAAACATCCACATCTCATAGGACACTGGGATGCTATTCTTAATGTTGCTAAGACATTATTGCAATTATGTTTATGCAACTGCAGGCACACATGGAAGTAAAAAAATCCCATTATTCCTCAATTGTGTCAGACTGAAAAAAAGGTTATAAAGTAATGGAATCTCAGGGCTGAGAGGACCTGTCTTCTGCTGTTTCTAAGATAAGCTGTCTCTACAGAATGAAATGCATTGTGAGCTATCAACTTGGCTGTATATTTAGAAATGTCAGCCAAAGCTCCAAAGCCTTGGGTCATGAATTACAGCATTTGGGTGGAAAACTGAACTTTAGACTTGTACATTGACAGCCTAGAGAAGTCTCTGAACCCTTGGCATAATCAATGGAGATAGAGCTTGCCAGCTTCACATTATAAGAGATGGCAATCTTACCCGGCAGCACCCTGGTCCGGGACCTTGAGGAAATCCAGGCTCTCGGGCGTCTGTGACACTCGGTCAGAGCCTGTGGACTGTTGCCGTGGCAAGGGTGGGCGGACCATGGAGGTATACAGGCTTTTCTGATTGGACCTCTGGTTTCCAGGAATATGGGGATGTGGCACAAACTGGTTTTTGATGATGCCATTCTGATGGTATCCTACAGGAAAAGAGAAAAAAACAAAGCTTAATTTTTTTCAATTCTTTCCCAAAAGGCTTTCCAAAAAATTACTTTCAGCTACTAGTGAATGGCAAGTGAATTAACATATCAGTTTTCCTATGGAGAGTACTATTGCTAAAATACCGCATTTAGATCTAATAATCTAACTTTTTTTCCCCTCAGTTTTACTGAGTTCTGATCAACAAATAAAATTGTATAACTTAAGGTATAACAAGGTGAAAGAGCTAATAATAATACAGAGTAAACTGCCCAGGAAGCACCTGGAAAACTCAGCACATGCTTGTCAAATTTGACAATAGAATCCCCAGATGGTCAGGGTTTCGAAGCCCATGGTCAAGGAAGGCTTGTAGCTAGCTGGCAGGCATGTCCTTGGGCTAAGAAAATTATGAGGCTATGACTCAAGAGGGCAGGCCAACAGATGTTTAAACAGCTGGACATCCTTTTTCAAGGGGTCCATCTTATGTGTCTTTGGCAAGAACCTGCTGTGTGCAGTGGAGAGAGTAGCCCACACAGACAAGAGAAATGTGACCACCCAGTTGGATCAATCCAGGCAGAGCAATCTCTCTTAGTCAAATATCAATTTCTAGTAAAGATCACACAAATTGCATTCGCCAGTAAGTAATAGATGTATTATAGTGATAAGTTCAAAATCATAGGTCTTGGCTGAAAGGGGCATTATCATTCCATGCCTTCTATGAGAAAGTCCTTTACGTCTTCTACATGACAGATCTGGGCAGGGTGAAGAACAAGACTCCCCAAGGCCCACTTGAGTAGGCTGTACCATAATACCTCTTTTGATCACATTGAGAGAACTCTTTGGAGTCAGTGGAATGACCCTTCATTTATAAAGGTTCTGGCTCTTAGTACTATGTTGATCTTAAGCTAGATAACTGTCTTTCCGAGTATAAGTTTCTTCATTAGAGAGCCGGGCACATATTTGTAATCCCAGAATCTTGGGAGGCTGAAGCAGGAGGATTGCAAGTTTGAGACCAGCCTCAGCAACTTAGTGAGGCCCTAAACAACTTAGCAAGACCTGTCTCAAAATAAAAAATAAAAAGGGCTGGGGATGTGGCTCAGTGGTTAACTGCCCCTGGGTTCAATCCCTGGTGCCAAAAAATAAAAAATAAAACCCCAAACAACAACAACAACAACAACAACAACAACAAACAACCAAGAAGACTAGGGCAGAATCCACTTGATTACTTCTAGCTATGACATGCATTTCTGTTCATCTTTATATTCTTCTTATTGCAAAGTGGAAAGGTGCGCTATTTTCCTCCCCAGTAATACTAGAGTTCCTACTTTGAATAACAGTTCTCTAGGTTGGAACTTTAAAGAACATAGTTCTCTAACCAGCCATCTCTCTTGCCATATCCTCCCATCTCTCAGGCTGGATCAGAACCAGACCTCTAGAGGCAAACGATCTTCTTCCCTCTTCACCTTACCCAGTGAATGGGATTTGAATGGGCTCCCCATGGTATCTGAGGATGGGGAGGAAGGCCCCACTTACTGCTAAAGTACCAAGGAAAGCAAAGGGGCATGTCAGAGGGGGATGTGCCCCAGGACAGTGACCCTCAAAGTGGGTCCAGAGACAGACAGCTTTATATGTAGCTCAAAACCCACTTGCTCACATAAATTCAGGAATTAAGAATAACATGAAGAGGGGCTGGGGTTATGGCTTAGCGGTAGAGCGCTTGCCTCGCACATGCAAGGTCCTGGGTTTGATCCTCAGCACCACATAAAAATAAATAAATAAATAAAAGTTATTGGTACAACTACAAAAAAATAAATATTAAAAAAAAAGAATAACATGTAGAAACATCCATAGCAACTTGACACACATATCTTAAGTCTGCTGAATCTAAGAACAAAAAATTTGCCTTATATTTTTATGCTTTTATAATTACTTTAGTCTACAAATACATTTTTATTATGTCTTGTAAAAGTATGGTTTGTAATGAACTGGAATTAAAAAAAAAACCTAAAAATTAAAAATCTTGTTTTTTCACTTTCACAGTCAGTTTGAAAAATGGTGATCTAATGAATTTAGGTTCAATGACTCATTAGACTTAGAGAGGTTGGGAACCATGCTTAAAGTCAAATGCACTGTGGCCTGATTTAGCCTGAAAGACTACTTTGGCCAAACTAACTGAGGCAAAGGAGCTTTCCAGGTCCAGACTACAATGCTACACTGGAGCCGCTGCATAAGTAACAGTGTAATATTAACATTGCTTCTCTCAGGTTTCTTCCAGCTTGGTTTTTCCTCCAATATAAAAGAGAGCAGGAGCAGCAGCTGGGCTGAAGCAGGATAGAGACTCTAAAAGAGAACTGGTTTCTCATTTGCCAGGCCCCAGTATCCTTAGCTCAGAGTAACACTGTGAGACTTCAGAGCAGGAGACTAAAGAACTGCCTTGTAATGCCAATTGGGAACGTCATTATAAATAGGATTCTCTTCTCTGGGATGATTTGCCAAATGTGGCCCTAAAATGACCTTTTCAGGTTTAGAATCCTAAATTAATATCAAACCCCTGGGAATACGTTTTTATGAAGTGAACTTTGTGAGGGAAGAAGAGACATTTTGTGAATTTTCAAAGTGCTATTCAAGGCGGTAGGGAAGTGGCTCAATAGCAGAGCGCTTGCCTAACTAATATGAAGCACCAGGTTCCATCCTCAATGCTGTAAAGAAAAAGAAGGAAGGAAGAAAGAAAGTGCCTCAAATACAAAGTAGATTTGTATGGGGCAAAAACTCTTAAGTTTATCTCTTAAGGTTTGGAGTTTATTGATCTGCAAATTGTATTTTTATTTAAAAAAATAATAAATATGAAATAAGGGCCCAAAAGTTTATATTTATATTATAAATATAACGGGCTGAGGATATAGTTCAGTTGGTAGAGTGCTTGCCTTGCATGCACAAGGCTGTGGGTTCTAATCCCTAGCATCACACACACACACAAAAAAACAACTTTTGTAACTCTCCCAGATATTATTTTATTTTTGGGAACAGGTCTCCTGGATTCTAAGAATAGATTTTTTTTCTCTCTCTCTCATTAAAGAAGCTATTAACTTATTGTAAAACATCATAGTGGGTAGTAGCCGTGGAATGATACTACACAAACTCCTTTCCCCTAAAGGTAGCATCCTATATCTTAAAACTGACAACACTGTGGTTATCATATACAGCAACTGTTCTCTCTCTCTCTGCTGTAGGAATTCTTCCAAAGGGAGCAATGTCTAGCTAATGACATCCAGATTGTCTAATCTACCAGTTCATATGTGCACTTATTTGCTAATGGGTTTCTTCCCAAGCAAATGTAATGTTATGAGTTCAAACTTAGTGGTCCCAGTCTATGGTGCATGCTTGGCTTACCTGGGGGAGGAGGGGCGGCTCTCATTGGGTAGTTGGCATTCTGAGTCCCACTGGAATACCCTCTGCTTTGGATGGTGTTCCTTCTGGTAGGACCTGATATAAACAAGAAACACAATATCAAAATCAGTACTACTGTTTGGTTTTATGGCTCTGGATGGTTCTTTGCTAATGGAAAACATTTGAGAAATTTGGAATGCAGGTCTCAGATTTGCAGGATACTGGCTGCAGTGGAGAAGGGAGATGTGATAGAAGTCCTACGCTGGTTGCCACTGGAAAGGAAGGGGCTGCAGGGTATCTTTATAGAGGTACAGTTTTTAAATGTTAGAGACAATGATTTTTCAAAGAGAGACTGATACGCTCATAAACGTGTTTCTATTTTGTAGACTTTCAAAAGAGACAGAAGGATATATCAATGTTTGCACATGTTCTCAACACTTCATGGAAGCTCTACATGTGAGCACTGCCCTGTATTGTCATTGGCAAGAAATACATCACAGCACTAACTGCATGCAAGAGCTTGTGTTCCAGTCTTCCAACTACACACAGAGACCATGACGGATAGGAGCAGACTTGATACCTGGACACAGACATGAAGACCAAGGAATTAGAAAACAAGCTGGCGCTGATGCGAATCATTTTAGGCCAGAGTTAGGGCTGGGACAGCAGGGCCAGATGGAATCTGTGATGGAATAAGTTCTCATCTTGGACATGTAGGAGAGTAGGAAGAGAGATGAAGAGGTAATTTCTTGTAAAGAGAAGAGCTGAAGAACAGAATGGTATGAAGTGATAATGTGCATGGAAAATAAAGGATGAAGTGGCGTGGAGTGGGGATTCCTTCCCAACACCTAGACCACTTCTACCTCAGCCCTAGAGAGATGAAGCAGTACTAGACAGCACACTGCTATGGGGCCTACTGAACATCTTGCTCACACACATCCTGCTGCTTATTTGCAGCCCGGCATGGCTCTGCACTGTCCTCTAGGGTCCAGGCTTGCTAAGCCCCTGTATTCCACCTGGCTTTGGTCAATGGGAGGCACTGGCCGGAGACTGGAATGCTGAGGAAGGAGGGGCTGGATGTTGGGTCTGCCTGCTCCTGTCTGCATCCAACCCTGGTAGCTACTGGAGAGAAAGTAGCTCAACAATTCGTTCACTCTGTCATTTCAGACTTAGAGGCAACAATGGTTTCTCACTGTTTCTTTTCCCTGGGTCCCTACTTTGTTCCCTTAACCCCACTCTCATCCTTTTATTTAAACTTCTCTGCAACATCCCACCGAAATGTGTTTTCTGAAAGTAATTAAGTGATATACAGACACACACCAACATTTTCCAAGTGGCCATATATACTTTAAGCTAGTATGTTTCTGCATTGTATTAACATGTCAGAGTATGTGCCAATGCATATGTACCTTTGTAGATGAACTTGATAAAGTTTTATGTATGATACCCTCTTCACTGACTATAAGCATAGGCTCAATTTTAGAAAAATACATACATATGTGAATGCATGGCATCTATGATTATCCTTTGCTGTGCCCTGTAAATTTATAAATATCAATTATAAATGGAACAAGAACCAAAGGCCAGTGAAGGAGTTAGACTTGAGGTTGAGGTAGTGCATGTATGTGTGCATATGTGTCTTCTAATGAAGCGCTTCTAAGTGAACATAGAGATCTTTGCTTTGACTTATAGCAGCATAGGGAAATCATGCAAGGAGTAGGTAAATGTGTTTGATTTCTTTTAAACTGGCATCAAGAATAATATTGGTATTGTCAAAAAGATTTGACTGGAAAGGGCTAGGAAGTTTGAAGCCAACAAACTGTTTTAAATACAGTTAATAGTGTAATGCCAGGTGTATTACACAGAAGAACTAAATCATTCAGAAAGTTTCAGCCTGTTTGTTTCCTTGATGTTGATTTAGTATGAAATGTCCTGTCTGATGAAAACCCTGCCACAGGAAGTGTTAGATGCACCAATTTAGCCCCAGACCAGTGCATTCACCAGCAGCCCTGGGAAGAGGCACTGATGTAGAAAAGTCTTTCTGCTGCCAAGGGGCCCACAGGACACTTACGGGAGTTCTTTGGCAGCCCTGGTCCGATGCTGACCTGCAGCACTTTGTTGCTGGGCTTGAGGATGGCCAGGTCACCAAAGCCTTGGTGGAATTGTACTTGCCGGGAGCCTCCTGCGCTCCAGGGACCCCAGTTCTCCTTCTTCAACTTCAATTCAAGACTGTAACAAATACATTTGTTGGGATTAACAAATCGGAATTAACCAGTGAGAAAATGGTACTCATAGACCCAGCATGGAATTCTGCTGTTGGGAAAGCATGTTATAAAAATGCAGCAAGACCAGACAACCTAGTGAGGGATGGGCACAGTACCCAGGATGTAGCACAACTACAGGTGACCACTGAACTAGAAGCAGAAGCTTCGGGATCTGGCACCTGTGAGAAACCAGTTGGTGAGGGAGATACCATATAAATACGACAATGTCACCTTGGCAGATAGTCTCAGGAGCTACTGCTTGGGGGACAGGAGGAAGGTGACAATTTCTAGGCCACACCTGCTATATTACATCATTTTGCTTCTAGCTGATTTCCCTGGGTCTGCGTATGTGCAGGACCGAGAGATAGATGCCAGACACAGATGAAGGTTCCATAGCATAGAATGTGGTTACTATTTCATTAAATTCTATTCTCCCACCAGTATTTCCTACCCAGACAAGGGGAAAAGACAAACACTAGCCAACAAAATCTAAACACCCCAGGCAGTTTGAATTTTCCCATGCTTCCTATGTCTACATCATGCAATCCATATTTGTATTTTTTTCTCATGTTTTCAGAAAGAAAAATAATTTCTAGTAGTTGCCTACTTGGCATTAAGGCTTTATATTTCCACGGATTCAAGCATCCTCGCTCTTGTGAGTAGGAAGAGCTGAAGGATATTTCCATGTTATAGACGGGGAAGTTGAAGAAGAAAAACTAAGTAACTCTCAGTCAGCACATGTGAGATTAGAAGCTCACAGTATGCCAGTATCTGGTCCATAAGACCATGTTAACCAAAACAAATGAGGTGAGCCAGGACACAAGACATTAACCATCCACAGTCCCTAAATTCCTGTTCCCATCAATAGATTTTATTATCATTAATTGGGGAAATTTAAGCCCTTATCCCAATCACCTTTGTCTGCTTCCAGAGTGACTCTAGTGCTTGCTCTGCTGAATTAAACAAAACAAAACAAAAACAAAACAAAAAAAACTCTTTGATGGATGCCACTTAAAAATCTGCCAGTCCCCACCTCATTTGGGTGATCATTATCTAAATGACAAAATATACCATTGTATAAAGTCATTATTTCACAGAAGTACAAAAATGACCTTTGCCAAGCTGTGATAACCACCCAGAGTATCTTTAGTAGGCTCTAAGATTCCACAGGGAAATGGAAGCACCCACAGTGGGATTTGCTAAAGCTATAGGACCCAGACCCTATGCCACAAACCCACAGGCCTCCCCTCCCCTCAGTTGGTCCCCAGCAGTAGGACCAAGGCCTTCTCAGTTTTACTCAGAAGTTTGGACCCCAACTTACGTATTGCTGAATTTCAGAGGTAGTTGCTTCTGGGTTTTTTCCTCATAACGCTTTGCTAAGAGACTTAAGAATTCAGTTTTGAAGACGGATTCGAGAAGACTATCATATTCTTGCTCATGGAGAATAAAAATGTCATCTTGCATGGTACTGTGAAGAGATTGGACAAATCTAATGAAAGCTGCACTTTTGTTTATTCCATCATCATCATCATTATTGGGAACTGGGGAGGGAAACAGGGCCTTATTTATGCTAAGCACGTGCTTTACTATTAAATTACACCTACGGCCCATTATTATTTTTTACTCCTTTTTTTTAATCCTGTAAGATAGTGGTAGGCTTTTTTTTTTTTTTTTTTGGTAGTACTGGGGATTGAACCTAGGGCTTCATGCATGCTTGGTAGGTACTCTACCACTGAGATACGTCTTCCCAGCGCCCTCTTTCATAATCTTCAAACAAAACATGCAACAATGAATAAGTAATAAGTTGATGAAATCTATTTTCAAAGGAAGTTTATAGTCCAACAAGAGCATAATCAAAATACTTCTTCCACAAGATTTTAAAATTAAGAATTTAAGGATAATTTAGCCCATATTTAAAAAATCCATTTCTAAATTCATATTCTATGTTCTGAAGATCATAAAAACCAGAAAGTTATGAATAGAATGTGACTGAAAAGGAATAATTCCATGTTAAGTTCCACTAGTAGAATTTATGATATGGCTGCAGCTATTGTCATAAATCGAAACCTGAAGAATTATAAGCTTGGTTATCAAAAGGGAAGCCAGCACACTGGGCTTCATTTGCACTTATTAAGAACCTTCTGGCAAACACTGCTTTGCTTAAACTACATGCCAGGTATTACTAGAATGTTCAGACACATCTAAGCACAGAAAGAGATAAAACAGGTGTTCCAACAACAAGCAGACACAGATCATCACCTTAAGCTGATGAAGCTGGTTGGGCAAGGAAAGAACACACCACTGAAATCGCAGCCTGGACAGGGAAGGACCATGAGCAAACTCATGGCAGGAGTTCCAGGGAGAGTGAAGTGCCAGGCTGAGGCAAATCCAGTGCTGGCTGGACTTTGTGGAAACCAACAACACACAATGAGAATCTGTATTACCTAGCTGTTGGCTAGCACCCCAAAGGCTGCATATTATGCAAATTTATAAGTTCCTCCAACTGTTAAATAATAAGATGGAATTTTATTAGGTATTGTTTTTCAAGGTATTAAAAATAAATTAGATGAATCAATTTCAGTAAATTGACCATGGTAACATTTTAGTCTTTCTAAGTGCAGGAAATGCCAAATGATGGTTCCTTTAATGACCGGGAACAAGTTGTCCAACATAGGGGCTGTGCTGTTCCTGGGGCTCCTGATACTGCTGCCCCAGGAGGTTTACTGTGGTTGTGACAAAGGAAAGCATAAGGCGAGTGTATTAAATGGAGTTCTGGAGCACAGAGAATCTTGGAGATCAGGGATTTTCTTTCCATGTAAAACTATATCTCCTGTGTTCCCTCTGATCAGCCCCATGAACACGACAAGGTAGGGGTGGGATGTCATTAGACCGTCAGATCTTCCTTAGGGGACTATCCCAGGCTTGTCAGGAACCTTCTTCCCTGGGCTAGCATGCAACCAGGGACTGTAGCTGATGGAGCCAGTAGCTAGAGCCATAGACTCTGTCATGATCTGAATGTTCCCTGTGTCCTCCAGTTCATATATTGAAACCTAATGGTTAGTGTAAAGTATTAAAAGGTTGGGTCCTTTAGGAGATAGTGACTTTAAAAAAGGCACAAGGGAGAGCTTGCCCCTCCCACTCTTCCACTTTGTGAGATACAACAAAAGGTACCATCTATGAAGCAGAATTAAGACTTCACCAGACACCAAATCTGCCCTCACCTCAATCTTGAACTTGCAGCCTCCAAAACTAAGGGATAAATTTGTTCTTTAAGTATTATCTAGTTCTAGATATTTTGTTATAAGAGCAGGAATGAAATAAGCCTCTCAGTCTTCTTACAGGAATGGGATTTGGTAATCCACAGGAGAAAAAGAGAGTTAAACCAGAACCATGGCACCCAAGGATGTAAAGATACACAAACCACAGGGAAGGAATAGAGTGAACTAGAAGTCCAACACCAACACCAAGGGAAAGGAACTTGGCCCATGTGCAGTCTGTTTAAGAGAATGCCAAAGAGTCTTGGCTGTGAGGTTAGAATACTTTTTGAGCATTTTTGGATGAATAATGACTATTTGGGTGGAGCACTGGCCATTGTTATTACCTCAAGAATTCATTTTCAAACATCCCTAAATCACACCCATGCTTCTTGCCCACTCTTGTGATAGCCAAGGACCAGGGTTTGCTGTTGCAATGAAAACAGTGACAACCAGTTGTAAACAACATAGGGTTTTTGTTTCTGTCCTTCAACAATGTATGGAAGCAAATCAAAGGTACTGTACCAGTCCTACATTGCTTGGGAGACAAGCACATATTCTTTCCTTTTAATGGTACAACCAGGAAGTTGTACAAGTCACTTCTGGTCACACCCCATCGGACAGAACTATGTCATGTGGCTATACGTAACTGCTAGGGGGCATGGGAAAACTTTGGGTAGGCTGCTAGCCATTAATCATGGAGAGAAAGAGAGAAAGAAGAAGAAAATGTGAATGGGTATGGTGGGACAGCTCACCATCTCTATCTACCTCTTTATTCACAGATATTTCCAAAACTAGGAATTAGAATCTTTCCACAAAGTTTAGAAGAATGTGTTTCAGGGGTACTGCCACAAAACTACAATCATCCTCCTGTTTCTGGTCAGACAAACTCTGGAATTGTCTTCATCACTTCAATTACAGCTCAGATTCAAAAGACAACTAAAAGCTAGCCCCAAGAGTTCTGTTATGGTTTGGATGTGAGGTGTCCCCCAAAAGCTCACGTGTGAGACAGAGCAAGAAGGTTTGAGGAAAAATGATTGGGTTATGAGAGTCTTGACCTAATCAGTGATTTAATCCTGGTAGGGATTAACTGAGTGGTAACTGAAGTGGTAGGGTGTAGCTGGAGAAGATGGCAATTGAGGCCTCACTTTGGGGTATATTTTGTATCTGGCGAGTGGAGTCTCTCTCTCTCTGCTTCTTGATCACCATGATGTGAGCTGCTTCCCTCTGCCACACACTCCGCCATGATGTTTAGCCTCATCTTGAGCCCCGAGAAATGGAGCTGGCCTTCTGTGGACTAGGGCTTCTGAAACTGTAAGCCTTCAAATAAACTTTCCTCCACTACAGTTGTTCTGGTCAGATCCTTTCAGCAGTGTGAAAAAGCTGACTAAAATAAGCTCTCCCTAGTCATCTGGAATTAATGAAATAAAATCCAAGTATCTTAGCACAGGTATAGTAAGACTGTCACATTAGATAGCAAACCCATGTGGTGGGAAAGAGGAAAACAAAAGCATTGGCTTTTGGCCTGTGAGGTGAGAAATAAACTCCTTCTTGCTTTTATGGCATGACTCAGAGTCCTCTGACACATCTGGACATGTCTGATTTCCTGGTGGTACTTTGAGCAAAATGGTGATTGTTCAACAGGGCAAAAGAGCATAAGACAAGTAACCTTGAGAGGCTTAATGTGTTTAGACATATAAGGAGTTTCATTGCAATATGGAAAAAGAGTAAGCAAACTAAGACTTCAAGGTCAATAAGCATGAATCTGGAAAAGAGATGTGTTTGGACACTTTGACTTCAACCATCAAATTAAAGAACTCCTTTCAGTGACCTGGACTTAAGAGTTACTAAACTCATCTTCACCCAGGCCAGAGTCTCAACTCATTCCCCTCTCCTCAGCCCACGCTCCTGGGTCTGGAAATAAAGGTTGAAGGTTTATTTATTCTAAAAAATCAGACTTATCTTTGGACATCACCCCTGTCTTATTCATATGCACAAGCTACAATTCCTTACAGATGTTTGATGTTGTCCCTTGTGTTGAAAAATCCTCTACTAGTCTCTGGTTTGGCTCTGTCCTTGTTTTTTTTTTTTTTTTTCCCCATCGTTGTGGCTTATTGAATTGCTGACAACACAAGAAAATCTTTTAATCTCTTAACCATTACATATTCTGCACAAAAGCATTAGTTACAAAACAGTGAGTAAAATTTTAAAGGAGTTTTATTTAAGTCTCTAAGTTTTACTGGAAGAAATGTAGAAGAAGGAGAAGGAGAATAAGGAGAAGATAAAGCTTGCCCAGAATTCTACTACTCAGAGAAGCCAGTGTCACCAGATTTAGATCCCTCTTAACTTGCTGAGGAAGCCCAGATATGCACCAGGCCTCAGTACTCTGTGGCTGCCTTGGAGAAGTGTCATCTGATCACCTTGGGAAAGGCCCACTCCTCTCCTTCCTCCCCAGGAATATCTATGCCCTATGGGGCACTTTGGTTTCTGTTACTCTTTCCAGAACAGAAAGGACTTGCTTGAGGCTGTCCTGGGTCTCCTCCACACCTTAGAAGGAATCCCAGGGCTTCACACAAGGTTTGTGTTCAGTCCAACGTTGTTGACAACATCCATGTTCCCAAAGGTACAGGCTGCAGTGAGTTAAGATTTCAATAATGCTTCGGCTCAGCAGAATAGATGGTGGCATAGGCTGTTCTTATTGCTAGAAAGTTGAGAGCATCTAGGCAATGTAGCATTCTAGACAAGAACCTTGTGACCAGGAAGCTGGAGCCTGTTGAAGGCACCCTCTTATAGGTTGCTTATCCAATTACAGGTAAGTATTGGAAAATCTTTTGACCCAGACAAGTAGAGCTTTTGGTCTTAGCCTCTGGTGGTCAGCTACTGGAGTGATAAGGAATTATTAGAATTCCTGTCAGGGAGATCCCCAAATATGAGATTTCCTGGCACCAATCTTAATGATACAATAGTAAAGTAAAAAACATAGGTCATTTTACTCGTAATCATTCTTTTAGCACATTGGTTTTCAAATAAGAGTAAAACCAGGACAAAAATCTTCCTGCTTATTTATATTTGAAATATTAGGGATTAAACCAAGGGCCTTGCATATGCTAGGCACATGTTCTACCACTGAGCTACATCCCCAGTTCTTTTTATTTTGAGGCAGGGTCTCTCTAAGTTGCCCAGGCTGGCCTCCAACTTGTGATCCTCCTGCCTAAACCTCCTGTTGTTGGAACCATGCCCAGTACAAAAAGTAGTTCTTGAAGGATCCTTTAAAACTGATACACAGCCTTCTACCAGCAGAAACCTGAGCCTCAGAAATGAAATGTCTTAACTCAGAGCTGGTGAGCCCCCTTCTAATATTCTTGCCCAGTCTCCAACGAAGCATAACTGTTCTGGTCTAATTTTTATTTATTTGAGAATTTTTCCTATTCAAAGTAACTTGGCATCCTTTTAAGCAACTTCAGTCTTCATCTTTCTTTAAGCTATTGGCCCTATTTCTACCTACTGTGATCCTATATTTTCCTTGCAAATGAAAACTTTAAAAAGCAGACTCTCAACATTTAATGTCTACTGTATATATTTGGAAAATCCCAGACATATAACAAAGTAGAAGAGTGGAATAAATTGACACATACCAGCTGGTTTCAGCAATTATTGATCCATGGATTATCCTGTTTATCTATATCTCCATTCTCAACACTTTCACATATAAACTAGGTTATTTTAAATCAAAGTGCAAATATTATATTGTTTTTGCCCTCAAATATTTCAGTATGTATCATTAAAAAATAAAATCTTTTTATATAAAAATAACCACTATACTCTTACCACACCTTAAAAAATGAACAATAAATCCTTCATATCAAATATTCATTTTGGTCACATTTCCCATGGTACCTACTGATTGTTTTTGAATGACTTATTTGACTGAATAGGGGCTTGTGAGCCCACTCTGCACTAACATTAGTTATGTTTGTTAGAGTTAGAGGTGCCTTAAAGATCAAGCTTGTGGGGCACTTTGATAGTCCTACTGGAGGAGTTCATAAAGGGATTATCAATCCAGCCAACAGTTAAGGAGTTCATAAGGGGATTATCAATCCAGCCGACAGTTAACTAGTGGGTCTCATACATTCTTGAAAACACATACAGATGTTGTAACTCTTTTCCTAAATTACAAGACAACTGTTAAATTCTCTTGCAATGCCAGCACTGAAGTGTTTTGAGACACATCCACACATTCGCCCACACCTACACCCATACCCATGTTAGGTAGACTAGTACCACAGTTAATTTCTACTTTAGGTTTGATTCTGCAAACACTACCTTCCATCTGGTTGCTTTCCTCAATTGGTTTCTGATTATTGGCCTTATCAAATGAATGAAGGAAATGAGAGGCCAATATTAGTCTTGGTAAGCATGAGGCACAGTAACTGCAATTTACAGACATTACAAGTTAAAATCACTGAGGCTCTCTTTTTTCCCCCCCTTAGAACTAGAACAACTCTTAGGCTATCTAAGTACCTCATTTGATTCCATCCTCTACAAAGGAAAAGCCACAGGGAAGTAAATGATTTTCTAGACCATGAATACTAAGGAGGACAAAGAAAAATAAGCTGGTTTTATCATGAGCCATTGTATTTCTGGGGGTCTGTGGGAGAAGGGGAAAAAATCAGAACTATCTGTGAGAACAATATTCTGTATGATAAACTTGAAGGATGTGATCAAAGGAAAGTGTTAATGTGCTTGATATAAATGTAGCTATATTAGAATTATTTCCTATCAGGGCCATCATGAGCCTTCCTCCAGTGATCTTATGGACTGAAGATAGACCTGGGCAATAACATTAGAAGAACAATAATCACTTTCAGAATAACAGCCACATGTGGCATAGAGGTGTGATTCCTTTGGCTTTTAGCTACAGCTAATGTCCAGTACCCACTGCACTATTCAGTCAGCCCAGCTCAGCTGAGGTACAGCAGGACACATGCAACGTGGGGAGACGGACAGGGAGGAAAGAAAATGAAGTAACAGCTTCCAGTTGGGTTCCTTGGAACCCCAAGGGCAGCCTCAAGGCCCAGCTAGTCAGGAAGGGTGTGGGCAGAAGGTTGTGACCCAGCCAATGAATAGTAGGCTCAGGAAAACCCAAGCAGCATCCAGACATTGTTCGTGAGACCCATGACACTGAGACCTACCTGAGGTGGGCGGTGGTGTGAGCAGGATAATGGTGGACTCATCTGCTCAGAATGTCACGCCTGAGTTCACATGTTTTAAACACAGCCACACTGCCCTGCCTAGCCCTTCATCCAGCAACATTAGGGACAGATAGACTCAGACCACACAGCCAAGGCAAGAAAGGACAATGGAAATCTGCTTCAGATTGTCACACTAGGCCAGGGTTTCCAGCCTGGTAGGCTAGAGGACAGACCACTTTTGAAAGCATACCTTTTCCTGAGCACAGCAGATTTATCTTCTAGGTAAACTGAGTTTAGAGAGGTGTCCTGATACCAGTTACACATGTCCACAAGTGAACAGAACATCACTATTTTGACAGACTTCTGCTGACAAAGGCAGCCTAGCTCTGCGCAGCCCACTTCTCCTCTCTTCTCATTGTTCTGGGTATCAGCACCATTTCTTCTCATCAGAGGGAAGCTACTCAAGTTCAGGGCATGGGACACAGGGAGGTCTTCTCACACACAGAAACTCCTATGCCGCAATGAAGCTAGAGTGTCAGCAGAAAAAGCAAGGGCCCTACCCGAGGTCTTGCAGGAGCAATCACTGCTTCCAAATGCCAGTGAGCCTGCAGCCAATGGGAGCATGTGGTAAAGACTCCCAGGCTACTGGTTATGCAGAATAATCTATGGAAGGCCCAAAGAATCTTCCATTCCAGGATACCTGCTCAGTCTTTGATGGTAAATGGGTCAGGTTTTGAAAATGGGTGGGAGGGCTGGTGGACAGGCCTCTGAACCTTTGGGTCCACTTCAGTAAGAGCAATTGTCCTCTAATTTGTTCCATACACTAGGTTTATTTCTACAATGCCATATTTCTACAATGCCATAGGGACACAGGTTCTGAGTCTTCCTTCATTAGAGGAACTAACCAGAAGGCAACTTTGTCTTGGTATCATATTCTTACCCTATCAGAAGTCCCTGAGACTAAAGTTCAGGTCCTCTTTAAATAGAAAGAAACTTCCATTCTCATCTTGATTTTGACAACTGGGAAGCCAGCCCTGCATTTGGAAGAGCAGGTGGAGACGTTGAGGAGAGAGAGGGCAGGTCAGCCTCGGCCCTTCCCCACTCACCTGAGGGACACCGATAAAATCCTCTCCATCTCGATTCTCCGCTTCAGGACTTCTTTCACAAGGCCTTTGTCTGGGCCCTGTTTGACCTTTTCTCTTCCGATTAAGTACATGCACTTTGGGGTGAGAAGCAGGTCTCGCTTCACGCCCTGTAAGGAGAGGAACTTTAAGGTGTCAGACAGATATGATCAAAGTGATAACTATCTCCACAACAAGTCACTGTTACCAGCACAGAGGGAAGCTTTCTTGAGCAGCAAATGTTCATTGTTATTCCACTTACCACCTAATCAGACCTCAAGAGGGAAGAGCCAACATATATGAAAAACCAGTCCTCCTCACTGAGTGAGACCCCTTTCAGAATAAAAATTATAAAGGGCTGGGGATGTAGCTCAGTGGTAGAGCACCCCTGGGTTCAATACCCAGTACAACAACAACAAAATCTATAGTGGACACGATCTGCTTTACCAGAACAGCAAAATCCCAAGTTATTTTTATGTGTTGGCAACTCTCAGAGGTGGTGACAGCACGTACCTTGAACCTCCTGTCATACTTGGTGACGGTGTCAGCAAAGTCAATCTTCTCCCTCTTGCCCACAAACTGCTGGAGTTCCGGGTGCTCTTCCATCCCAATGTAATCCCCAATGAAGTTCCGGTTAATACTATTTCTCCTTCGCTCCTTCTTGTTCAACAACAGGTCTGAGGCTACCATTCCCAAGAAGGTGGAGAAGAAAGAAGCAGTCAGCCAGAAAAAGGAGGAAGATATTTAAGAGTGTAAATATTCAAAGAAATCATGAATGACGCAAGATATTTAGCACACAACCACTCTATGCCAAATAAAATAGAACTTGTAGCTTCATTTAAGCTCAGATCTACTTGAGATTTGTTAAACAGAGGAAACAAAATGACAAAAATACCTTCTTCTCTCATTTGGACATATTTCTTCCGGGCCACAAATTTACGCCATGATTTCTGTATCACTCGAGCATACCCGTCATACTTTCTCTCTCTCATCTCTTCTAGAAGAAATAACTGTGAATGTAGAGAAAACAAACATGAGCCAATCCACAAAATCTGAACATCACTCTTTGTTGATGTTGTAATTTCAGTGTAGTCGAGGAAAGATAGGAGGAGCAGCTTCTCAGACTCAAGAACAAACATGTAAAATGATTTCGATGATATCTTGTTTATGGTAATGATAAATTCTTTACCTACATACTTTTTTCTTCTAATAAAAAGCAATGGGAAATGGTTGAATTTGAATATGTTATAATAGTTTCTGCCCTGCTTTGCTCAGAGTCTCTGTGACTTGTTCCTCACCTTGATCCACAGAGGATAGTAGGTGGCCAGATTAAATGAGTTGGCGGAGGCTGCTGGCGGAGGCTGCTGCTGTTGTTGGGTGCTGTGTACAGACTCGAAATAGAATTTTCTAGCTTCTGCCAGAGCAGAATTGTACTGCTGTGGGAAGAGGGTTGCCCTACTTTCAGTTCCATGGAAGTCTAGACTTCCTGCCTCACAGGATTCTCCAAGGAGTCACTGGGCCAGGGGATAAGAACCTCAGTGACTGGGGCCCAACTCAGACACTCTAGTTGGAACTTGGATTCACTAAGGAGAGCTGGCATCGTTTAGGGGCCTAAGTCAGACTCTGGCAGGTCTGGAGAGTCAATTAATACTGACTGCTGTGTTGCACTCAACCAGATTTCAGAATACAACAAATAGCTGTAATGTGCCGAGTGTCCACTGTGGTTAAGAATCATTCTAGACCTTTTATGCAGTTATTTTATTCAACACCTCAACAACTATGTGAGCCACATATCTCCATTTTGCCAACGAGAATATCAAACTGAGATTGTGTGGGGCCAGAAAGCAAACCAAGGTCTTTCAGCCTCTGCCATTCTCCTCCTTATCCAGACATATGAGTCTTACTCAGTAAACCTGCATTTGATCAATTTGTAAAATAGTGGGAAGTTTTCTCATTCACCTTGGAAGTGGTTTGCATGATTCTCTAGAAAAAAATTTAAAAATAAAATAAAAAGGACTGATAGAAACCCGAAGTAAAGATGATGAATAGTCATTGCAAGAGTGTTCCAGAAGTAAACAAGTGAAGTTGGTTTGAAGTTGGTTTGTTGCCTCTGTTAATCTGGGTCTGCATTTGGAACTCTAGTGCTGCCACTCAACTTCTTCTTAGAGCCCCAGATGTGTAGAAACAACATTTCCAAGTGCACATACCCAGGGAAAGGCCACCTAACTCCACAGCCTTCAGTGCTACATGCCATAGGCCTAAGGAGCACATTTCTAACCCAATATGGAATACATTGTTTACCAACTGGACAGAATGTTTAAAATCTGAGCCCTGTGGTCGCCTATTGTAATGTGTTGATTTTTCTTATCTGTTTTTTGGGTCTTCTGAGTAAGTCTTGTTTCCTTCTTATTTCCCAGAACAAGCTTGGGAGTGTCAAAGAGAATACACTTGTGACTCAGAGAAAAAAATAAGCAGCAAATAATTTCTAACTCCTGTAGAGATTAACTTGGTTTTAGGTTTTGTTAAAAGCCCAGGGCATTTAGAAATCAGGGAAGTTAATGAATGAAGAGAGAGAAAAGCCAAAAACCATAGACACATGTAACAACAACAAAAACCACTTTGGTGTCTAATATTTAATGTCATTTTTAAAGCTAAACAAGTTATTTTGTGTGTTCAACACTTATTATGGAAGTTAAGGCAAAACCATAAAAAGGCAAAAGATTTTTTTTTCTTCTATATAGTTTTTGGTACTGGGGATTGAACACAGGGGAGCTTAACCACTGAGCCACGTCCCCAGCCCTTTTAATGTTTTTATTTTGAGACAGGGTCTCACTAAGTTGCTTAGGATCTTGCTGAGTTCCTGAGGCTGGCTTGGAACTTGTGATCCTCCTGCACAAGGCAGATTTTAAAAACCAACTTTTGTACAAGCATTTGCAAGTCAAGGCTAGATGTGGACTGAAGAGGTTGGGGAAGAGGAAGGTGATGTGTGTGTGTGTGTGTGTGTGTGTGCATGCAAGTGCATGTGTACATTCACACACATGCATAGAAAGGTGGGAGAAGGATAATGCAGTGATGGCAGTGAAGCATCTCAAAGGAAGGCAAAGAATACAAGAACCAAAAATAAATCTTGGTTTTGGATATAAATTCCCAAAGCTCAACGGAATCAGAATAAAAACGTATGAAAAATATTGAGGTCGTTTTAATTATATATGAAAATTTAGCAAGTTGAAAAGTAAAAGCGGTATGAAACAACAGAGAACTCTGCATTGTACTGACAAATCACTCTATCCCGTTTTAGAAAGAACAGGAACTGCTCTGTGGGTTGCTTAATGGTGTATGACACAACATTTTCATTTTATATTTGGAAATGAAATTGCTGTGAAGCTACAAATAACTCAAAGTAGAAAAATGCTACCACAAACTTTTCATAAACCGGTTCTATTGATGTGTGCCACTTATGTACTTAATGGTCTTTGGTTCACAAAGCCATTCAGCTACAGCTATTATCATCCTGAGCCTCAGGCCCATCCCACAAGGCATGCAGAACAGTGTTTGGGGAGAAGGAAACCCACTGAGAGGCCAGGATTTGCCTAAAGTCAAGTGTTCCTATTTCTTCCACTTTTAAGTTCCTGTATATTTTTCCTTGGTCTGATGACTAATTTTGCCAAGTTCACCACTGACTCTTGAAATGGAGTCTTGTGATAATTTCAGGAACCTCAAGAAATGATGATGTTGAACCTCAGTTCCAGCAATTTTCCCACCTTAAAAAGCAATGTCTTTATTCCATAGCCCCAGAGCTACTAGGGCAGAATTACTAAGGGGCTTTGCTGGATTTCTGCTCAAATGCAGAACTTTCTATGGACATTCACCAAGCTCACAGTGACCACATCCTTATCAGGAAAGATAAAGAAGTTTCCATAAATTAATCCATATAGAGTACTGCAAAATTTATGAACCATAAAATGCATGTTTGAATGCATTACTAGTAAATATTCATGTTCCGGAGACCCGAGATTTCTCCTCCAATCTATTCTCCTTGAAGTCCTTCCCCAGCTCTCTCATGGTCTTCCAAGTACAATCCTAGGAATTTCCATCCTGGACTCCATTCCACCCTTCAGGAGGAACCTAAGCTTGTTTATCTGGCCTGTCTGTCACCGAGAGGAAGACACAGAATTGACCAAGCCTCCTTTGTGACTCAAAGAAGTCTCTTCTCAGCTTAAACATTATGAATAACTATGGGGCACTTTCTGTCTGAGATACCCAGTGCATATTGGCAAACAGAACAGAGTCCCTGCCCTGAAAGAGATTGCCACCTAGCAGGGGAAAGCAATAGCAAGTGACAAAAGAAGCCAGTCTGTGGGAGACACCTTTTTATATATGCCAAATGCTCTGAAGGAAGTGAGTAGAGCTGTGATAGCTAGAAGGGGGCAGGAGTGTGGGAAATGACCCACCTGGATTGGGAAGAGAGGGAGGGTTCTGTGAGATGATGGATGAGGAACAGCAGCCAGCCCCATGGTGCTGTGCAGGAGAGGGATTGTGGGGAGGTGGTGGTGTACTCACAGACTCAGGGGCTTTGATGAACACTTTACTCCTCCCCAGCTGGAACTGGTCGCTGTCCATGTTGACAGACTGCAACAAGTGGAGGACGCCTTGCTTTTCATCTCCTCTCCACACAGGCCAGGTGGCTTTGGTCAGAATGGCATACCTGTGAGGACAATCAGGAAGAGAACAGACTTAGGTTGGACACCTGGGCTCTGTGTGGGGTGAGGCAGCAAGAGCCCTGCTGTCACTGAGGTATTGGGAATCCACTCACTTCCACTCAGAGCTACAGGAATGGATCTCAACGACCAGAAAAATCCCTCAAGTCTGAGATGCCCATCACAGAGCTTTCTCCTACACCCTCCCTATCCCATGGTTTCCATGTTAACATCCTGATGAAAATCAGCATTCCCGTTTTACCACTGACTGTCTAAAAATAGCCCTGCTGAAGGTCACTTGTGACACTCTTCAGGCAAAAATAAATGGTCTTTTTTCGATACTAATCTCTCCTGATTTCATAGCACAATTAATGCAAAGAATTTCACAAAGCTCCCTATAAGCAACTGTTATAACTACTGTTCACCAACTTTTAGCCTGGACATTCTGTGTGTCCTTAGTCATAGGGCCAGAATGACCTGATCGTGGCCATCTCTGACCTCATCTCTTCTGCTCTGCTTTTGACTCACTACGTTCCTTCAAAGTGCGCCCTCTTCTTCACACACACCAAACTTTTTCCCTCCCCCACAGCTTTTGCCCATGCTGTGCTGTTCTCCTAACTCCTCACTTGGCTGGCTTCTCCTACTCAGGGTGACACAGCTTCAGGAACACTTCCAGACAGGCCTTCTCGGGCCACCTAATCAAGAATTACTCCCCTGATATTTTCTCTGATAGCAAATAGCGTTTTTCCTTCATGCCATGTACCATCATTCATAATTATATTACTATTGGTGTTGACCTGTTGATGTATGCTTCCCCTATGAAGATGACAGCCCCATGAGTGGATGACCCATTTGTGTGGCCCAGAGTGCACAGGCAGCACCTAAGTAATGCCTGGCACACAGCAGGAAAAACTAACATGAATGGCTAGCATGCAAGGCCTGCTCTCTCTGCATTGAGTGCTATGATTGGTGCTTTAGATGCATGATCTCATTTTAATATTATAGCAAATTACTATTATAATTATGTTGAAGGTGACATAACTGAGGAGAGAGAAGCACATTATAGGATATAAAATACAGAAGGAAACTTCAGAGGAGTGTGCAGGTGGGCAGTTGGTAGGTGTGGCCTTGGTCCACACACACTTATGGCATAGGCCTTGAGAACCATGGCCCTGTTTATTTCCAGAAACTACTATCAGGATTAGACTGACTTATGGCAGCCAAGGGAGAAGGGAAAAGACTGGCCCTGCCTTCAGGGTCTAGGGCTCAAGGGGAGCTGGTTGGGACTAAGGTGATTCTAAAAGCCCACACTGCTCCCACTAAGAGCCTCCCCCTAATATTGTCTGATGATATATTAATTTCCTGGAGAAGTAAATCCTCTTGTTTTCTAATTAGAGATAAAAAGCTTAAAAGTAAAAATGCCTAGTTGAAGTTATGCATAACATGAATAAACTTCATATGTAATATAATGATGTTGATTCAACAAATTAAACCACACAGAAATGACTGATAGCAGAACCTTTCTAGATGTGATTGGAAGAGTTATAGAAAGGTAAGAAGGAACTGTCAATCTACATGAATGAGGGGGAAGGGCTCAGGGAGGGTAGGGGCAAGAAAGAAAAGACTTAACCTCTAAGGTAACAAATGTCTAAGAGTGCAATTTTGCCTGGATTGATCTAATCAAAATTTTGCACTAAAGAACTTATATCATGCAACTGCCAATTGGTCTCTCTATTGCAATTCAACCTTTCTTTCCCTATGAAAATAATGCTGGGTTTCTCTTATTTGGTCTCTTTTTATGGTAAGGAACTCTGCAGAAATTTTCTGTCTCATTCTGACAAGGCCTCTAGTGGTGGGTGAGGGTCTTCAGAACACATGGGAGTTGCCTGGTGCTACCTGTGCTTTCATGAAACTTGATACATCCTCAACCCCACCCTTTGGTTTCCATAGAGAGAGCAAGGTATAATTCTAGCACAATGTCTCCACCTATTTCACTCTCTAACTCCAGGATAGAGTGGCAGGACAGGCAGTTACACAAGGTAAGGGTCACAATACCTGATACTTGTGATAATTTTGGAGGGATGACGGTAATGGCCTATACTCCTTGATCAAGCATTCTCACTTTAAAACTCAAATATGCCAAATGTTTTCTCTGAAGGCCTTTGAGCTGGTTGATCTCTCTACCTGGAATTCTCTATGCTGCCCTGTAGACTGATAGGTTCCTTGTTACCTCTTGAGTCACTGATCCAATGGTTCCTTCTCAGAAGAAATACAGCATAGATCCCAGTGACCTCTAGTTGCTGGTCCTCGGGTTTTAAGGATGTTTTGAAGCAAGGACATAAGAATCCTGGCAACCAGCAGGCAGCTCTCTACCACTCCACACCATCCTACTCTTTCTTTTCTCTAGTCCACAGCATAAAATGCCTTTTCAATAATCCCACATTTTAAAAGACTGGGTCAAGGTCAAGGTCAAGGGAAGGATGCTTGTAAGGAAACAGAAATTGTGCAAAAGATAACCTTTGCAAGTCTTTGTATTTCTACAACATTTTTCTTCCTATGGATCAGAAGCAATATTTGGGATTGTTTCTTCCATCTATATTAAGGAATACATACTGCCTAGCTCAAATAGGTATTTTCTGAAGAATTTAAAGGTATATTCCCAAGCCAAAACTCCATGTGACAGCCATTGCTAACAGTTTTTTAAACACTTTCTAAAGGTATGAAAGTTCAAGTGGGAAGGTGGTGAAAGTGTTCTTCCTACTGCTCAAAGCCGTGCAGGGCTGACTTCCAAGAGCACATGGATGATGAAAAGGGGCATTAAGGCATCTTTTGAACTTTTACTCTCTAACACTCCGTCAAAAGGGATGGTCTTGATAAAAATAAAGGATTTTCTAGAGGAAAAAAAATAACATACTCTAAATATACATGTTATTTTCTAAGCTACCTTGCACCCTAGGTAGTGTTGGAAACATTGCTCTATTTAGGCTTGTGGGCTTTCTTTCTAGGCAGGGGTGGATAATATATGCTGATGTGGATAGTTGTGGTGGGTTTTAATAGATCCTTTTCCTCAGGTTTTACTTTCTATGGATACCTAAGAAGTAAACTTATAAATGAAGCCTTTTGTCTCAGGCTTGGAGAGAATAAAAGTACAAAATGGTTCATTTACTTATAGAGTCTCACTGGCTGAGAAAGTCAGGGCCATCTCTAGAAGAATTCTGAGAGATTCCATACTCCTTATGGAAAAGAGTGTTGTCTCTAGAGAAATATTACCTATCATTGACATATCTGGACTTCAAGTCAGTTTTTAGTGGACCATTTAAATAATTGTTTTATAATACTGTTATGGGGGACTGAAAATGTACTTTTTTATTGAAAAGCAATGGCCTTTCAAATATTATTTTGATTTGAGAAATCAAATCTACTACTACTTTCCCAGTAGTATCAAATTAAGAGAAGTATGATAGCAATAAAAGATTCTGCTTTTATAAGACAGGACTATTTGTCTCTTCTGAAAGTCCACAGCAGGAGGACAAAGAATAGAAGCATCCAAGAATAGAATCACTTTAATGAAAGTTTCTCAACACAGGCGGCACAAGAGTTTTCACCAAATGCCACTGACCGTGAGGCATACCACAAAGTACTGTGTATGGCACTTGAGAGAAGCCTAGATTTGATGATCAACAGTTCACTTAAGAAGCTACTGCAAACAAGTCACATAGTCTGCTCAGGGTCCCTTAAACAAGTAAGACCTGGAGCATTCCTAAAAGGAGAAGATGGACTTCCTGCTCTCCCAAGACAGCAAAACTTGTATACTTGCATGTGGAAGTCAGGTTGGTTGGTTGGTTTTTTAGATAAAATGGAAAGAAGGAAGTCTTTCAGTTTTTAACTATAGTGAGAGAACTTGCAAGTGTCAAATAGAGATTTTAGGTACATGAAATATATTAGAAGATTTAAAATTTGTAAAATTAAAACTACTGAAGTCAGGCCCCTCTGAATTAGGGAAAGATAGCAGGAAATCCTTTTTCATGTACTCTTTCCTATAGTTGATCTTTTTCTCTTAATTAAAAAAAGTTATTTTCAAAGAAATGCTGTTTTTCAAAAATGCTGTGGCCCTGGGGAATATTAGGTAAGGCCTGAATACACTTTGGGTTTGTCACAACAGGGAGGGGGCTGCATTCCTGGCATCTGGTGGGTAGAGGCTAAGAAGACAGCAAGACACCCTACAATAATACACAGGACAACTTCCCTCAACAAAAGTCATCCAGCCCAAGATGTAGTAGCTACAGCTGAGAAACGCTATTCTAGTATTACTGATCAATTTAAGGAAGACTCAAGTCTTATAACTAACCTGTAAGTTGTTCCTCAGCCAATGAGTGGTGCTGTAGTGACATAAAAATCTCTATAGATTTATTTTTCTCAACTCCCTACTTACTTCTCTCATACAGTCCTGCTTACACTATTGGTGTATTGGCACTTTTACTTCAGAAATCAGAGAGGATGAATTTTTTTTCTTTTTTCTTTTTTTATATATATATATAGTTGTGTGTAATGACAATTTGTTGTGAAGTATTTGTATGTGTACACAATATAACAATATAATTTGGCCAATATCACTCCCCAGAGAGTGAATTTTATTCCTGATCTAACCCACTCCTAAAGTCATCAGGAAACTTGCATGTGTGGGAACTGAGGCAACAGGACTCTGTCATATGAAATGATAAGCCCTTTAATAAAGCCTCCAGCTGGGGTCAGCTGCCCTAATCTACCACTTAGGAAGAACTTCCAAAAGTTCTTTCCAAAGGAAGAACTATCTTATTAGAACTTATTGGAGGTACTAGACTTCAAAGATCACATTTGAGTTCTTCCCCAGGCTGCAAGATCTTTGTTACACTAAATTTGAATTTTAAAAAATCCTTACATCCTGCCTCTGTATCATATATCAGGAAGATGTAAATGTTTTCTGATTTAGATGATAGATTTGGATTATATCTCCTTTTTCTTAACTTCCCTATTTATTAAGGGAAATTAAATAACTGTACAATAGTAGAACTCCTCAGAATCATTAGAGAAGTTAGAATGACATTATATTTTAAGGACATTCAATATTATCCTTTTCAAAAACAAGCAACATAAAATAAGAACATTTAAGTATAGGTCCTGCCTAATAGACTATAAGGAAAATATAAAAACAAGTTTAAATTTAAACATGGATTGTACAAAATTTTGAATTTAAATACTTTAAGCTCATTCCTAACGTAGGCTAAATATTTTCCTGCAGTTGCTTTCATACTGTTGACTTGCTCAGTTAAGTTAAACCTCAGCCATTCTTTTTTTTTTTTTTTTTTTAATTTTTTTTTATTGGTTGTTCAAAACATTATAAAGCTCTTCACATATCATATTTCATACATTAGATTCAAGTTGGTTATGAACTCCCAATTTTACCCCAAATACAGATTGCAGAATCACATCGGTTACACATCCACATTTTTACATAATGCCCTATTAGTAACTGTTGTATTCTGCTACCTTTCCTATCCTCTACCATCCCCCCTCCCTCCCCTCCCATCTTCTCTCTCTACCCCATCCACTGTAATTCATATCTCTCCTTGTTTATTTTCCCATTCCCCTCACAACCTCTTATATGTAATTTTGTGTAACAATGAGGGTCTCCCTCCATTACCATGCAATTTCCCTTTTCTCACCTCAGCCATTCTTATTCACAATTATCATGAATTCATGAACTTTGGCTGAATTCATGAATAGCCTACCAAACACTGATGGCTATTGATGAATTCTACCATGAGTAATGGTTAAAAAATATTCTATTAAAACTCTGTAATAAACAGACAAAAAGCCCTTAAAAAAATGGGCAAAGGACTTGGACAGGATTTTCTTCAAAGAGGAAATACAAATGGCCAATAAGCACATAAAAAGATACCACTGAATATCATTTACCATCTGGGAAATGCAAATCTAAACCACAAAGAGATACCACTTCACACCCACTAGGAGGCTTAGTCAGATATTAGCATATGTTGACAAGGATCGGGATCAATCGGAACCCTCAAATACTGCGGGTGGGAATGTGAAGTGGTGCCTTGCTTCAGAAAAGAACCTGGCAGCTCGTCAAAGAGGTTAAACATAGAGTTACCATATGAATCAGCAAGTCCACTTTTAGGTACATTCCCAAGAGAAATGAAAACACATGTCCACACAAAGACTTGTACATGAATTTTCATAGCAGCATTATTCATAAGGGCCCCAAAGTGGAAACAATCCTTTACCAATTGATGAATGAACAAGTAAAATGTGGTCCATCTGCACAATAGAACACATTCTGCAATAGATAGGAATGACCTGCAGAAGGCTACACATGGTTGAATCTTGAAAACGCTCTGCTAAGTGAAAGAAGCCGGGCACAAGAACTCATATCAGATTGTTTTTAGGAAAAGCCCAACATAGACAAATCTAGAGTGATGGGAAGTAGAACAGTGGGTATGTAGGGGTCAGGGGAGAACTGAAGGTTGGCAACTAAAGAGCGTGAGACATCTTTTCAGGGTAGGAGTATGCTCTAGTTAATTGTGATGGATACACAACTCAGCGGATGTAGTAAATGTGTTGATTCATGTACTTTAAGTGGGTGGATTCCATGTGAGTATATCTCAATAAACTTGTTTACATAAAATAAAGTCCAGAATCACTGGTGCGTAATGCACCTACCTCTGTAGGAATTTCTGGAAGATTCGCCGATAGGCATAGCCAGCTCTTCTCACTCGGATGTTCTCTTTCAGACCCAGATATTCCACTTGATGTTTTACCCTACAAAAGAGAAAATGGCACCTGTCTTTACTGGAGAATCTTTGATTCCTATATTCTTACCAACCAACCTCCTTGACTCCCAGTTCCAATCTGCAGGAAAACATATTAAAAAGACATAATTTATACTGTTCAGATACTAAGCTGGCCTCTCAGATCACATATTAATTTTTAAAATGTTGCAGAACATTGCAATTATATAAGAGGATATTACTTATCAATTTCAAACACTAATAGTAAAACAAAAACTCAAAGCCAGGTGTGATGGTGTACATCTGTAGTCCCAGCTATTTGGGAGGCTGAAGTCAGAGAATTGCTTGAGCCCAGGAGTTCCAGACCAGCATGGGCAACATAACAAGACGTCATCTCAAAAAATAAATACAAATAAAGCCCCATAAACCTGTTACCTGAATTGTGAACAAAAATATTGTTTTTTTTCAAGACTAGAGGCTAGAACTTTTAAGTTTAAGTTTTGAATTAAATTATACTGGAGGTTTTTTTTTTTTTTTTTTTTGTACCAGGGAGTGAACCCAGGAGTGCTTAATCACTGAGCCACATCCCCAGCTCTTTCTATGTTTTCTTTGAGACAAGGCCTTGTTAATTTGCTGTGGATGGCTTTGAACTCACAATTCCTCCTGCCTCAGCCTCCCAAGTTGCTGGGTTTACAGGAATGCGCTGGAGCTGTTTTGTTACTGAACCGACTCTAGAATTAATAATGATCCTATTGTTCTAGGATTTTTCTAATGCAAGTTAAGAAAGCTATATGAAGCTATTAATTTCAAACACTTAAGTTAAAATGGTTCAAAATAGATTTGAATCATAGTTTTGGCTGGTTTTTATAAAAATGAATCTCTAGCAGTGTATTTTGGAAAGTGGATGCAGAGTACTGGTAGGTGGATATTGCCACACATGCAATTTTCCTATCAGAACACAAGCCCCACGCCCTATGCCTTGGTTTAAGAGGCCTGGCAGGTCTGGGAAGTTGTGGGGCATGTACATTGTGAAAACCCATCCCTTGCTGAACAGCAGTTTCTTGAACACCCACAGACAGGTTTTGAACACTTGTCTGATCATCCACTCTGGAGAAAAAAATTGGGCCTGGGCTGCATCTGATGCAAGCTGACAGAACAGATACTTGGACACATGGTAGTTTAGAAAATTAGAAACTAAAAGGAAAATCTCTTTTGAAGATGGGATATGGGAATTGTGCTTTGGTAGGAAGGTAGCCCCCTCATGATCCCTATTTGGTACATTTGGTCAACCACACTAATGATGGATTCCAGAGAATGGATTCACATGAATGCTGAAAAAAACCATTAGAAGCCTCCTCACTCCAATTTCACTCAGGGTCCTGACAGCTGTCTCTCCAGCAAGGCTTTTATGGAAACCATATTCCCAAATAAGCCTCATACTTGTTGATGACTACTTATAGACCCTGTGCCCCCAAGAGGAACACTATGATTCCTTCCCCACAGCCAGGACAGTGGGGAAGAGCCCGCACTCTGGAACTGGTTGCTGTGCACCCGTGATTCTGCTGCTATGTAGCCTCTCTGTGCTTCAGTTACCTCATCTATAAAATGAGGATGGTAATAAATTACTAGCTGGGTACCTTCCCTATAAGTCACTTAGTTCCTGTCATGAGTGATGTAAAGCTGCAATTATTCTAGTACATTCCCAGCTACAATAAGTAAACCAGGATGGGAGAATAGACAAGGAAATGGATTTTTCACACAGCGGGATTCTTAGAAGCAGTGTTTCATGCCTCAACCAGAAGGATGAGTTGAATTTATCATGTGCAGAGGACAATGAAGAGAGCCCACAAAAGGCAAGCCTGCAGAATGGGGTGGTGGGAGGTGAAGACAGGGATGATGAAGCTTGAAGCAGAGAGAGATTTGCATGGGAAGGATGAGGTGTCACAGTGAGGGATGTTTAAAGAGCCTCGAGTCAGTCTTCCTTGAGCTGACATCCAGACAGGTTGACTCCTTCAAGATGACTAACTTTTAAAAAGTCCTCATATGAAAGAATCAATATTTAATATCCACATTTGCCTGGATAAGTCACACACACACAGATACACAGACACACACACACACAACACACACACAGAGATGTGGCAGGGGTGGAGGAAGAGATCTATTTAACTAAAGTGGCTGAAATCTGATGCTGGAAAATAATTAAATTTCCATTCTTCTGTCCTCCAAATCTGAAACTCACCACTGACCTTTTCTCCAGTGACGAAAACACACACAAAATGCCTGTTTCCAATGTTTGCTCATTTTACAGTACTTTTTTGCAAATACCAGCATCAGGCCAAGATACCAAGGCAGGGACATACCACCCATTGATTAAAAATGACACATGCCTTTCCCATGAATCAGTTTCAAATGCTGTTTCATTCACCATTTTTTCCCCACCTTCAGGAAATTTTCTTTTAGAAATTTCCTTCAGCAGGACAATCAGTCTAACAAATCCTGTAATGTTTAAAATTTTATGTCACTAAAGGACCCAAGTTAATTTTTGCACATTCCTAGAGCGCTGTCACCTCCTCAGTAGACACTGGCTAGACACCACCCCGTTGTTCTCCCAGTTGTGCCATTCCTGTCTCTAGGGAGGGATCCTCTCCAAGGCTGTCCTCAGCCATTAACTCAAGTTGGCCAAGGCCTGGGAACTTCACGAGGGCAGCAATTCTGAATCCAGGGCAAGCAACTTTGCCAGAAACCAAACAAAAACACATTTGCAACAGGAAAAGAAAAAACCCCACACCCCACAAACTTGTTGAATGAGCAACCCTCTCTGCAGAGAGCTTAATTAAGCGTGTAACCCCTGCCAACGACACACAGTGCCCTCTCACGGCCCTGCATCCACACTCATGGGTGGAGTGAAACCATCTGCTGACAAATCTGTCCCAGGATTGAGGAGGGGAGTCCCAGGAATCAATCCTACTGAAACACACATCAACACTGACCAACTCACTCCTGACCATCTTTAAATCCATTTACATGACTGCTTATCATGGTCTTTGCTGAAATTCAAATAAAGGGAGTTACTAAAGAAAGTTAAAAAGAAAGAAAATATAGGAAAGCCTTATGAGGATTTACTAATAAAATGCATCACTGTCTTACTTTCAGCATTTTCTGATATTCCAATAAATCAGGCTGAGATTCATGACAAGGTAGAATCAGGGTTAGGGAACTTGTGAGCAGCAGCTACTGAACTACTTCCAAATCAAAGGGGCTTTTGGCAGAGCTAACTATGTGGACTAGGGCAGGGTGTGCTGGGCAGGGTGCTGCATTTATAGGGCAAAAATATATTTTTATTTAAGATTATTTGCTCCAACAAGAAGATGGGTAGTTTGAAATGGGCAAAGAGTGGGCTAACATGCCCATTCGAAATACCTTGGCTCCCAAGACTCTCATAATTTATTTCTGAGGTTGCCTATGACACCACTCAACTTGTGTGTATGTCTGTGTATGTGGTGGGGGTGGGGAGACGGGATGTGCACACACAGGTGTGGAAGGGGTAGGTGTAAGAGTGATATGGAAACAGAGCAGACTGACCATAGCAAGAGATCTTCAAAGTGCTCATTCTGTCAGAATGGAGATCCTATTCCAGACTGACCCTCTTAGTGTAAAAGACCAAGAAACTGAGTGGAGAGGGGATATAGTAATTAGTGATCGACCAGCACCAGGACACAGTTCCTCCAAACCCTGTGCAGCTCCTGGCTCAAGACCAGAGGTTCTCAAGGTGTGATGTATCATAGGCCACCATCACCAGCATGTTTTTTAAAAAATGCACATCCCTGGGCCCCTCCTCAGAGCCACAAAATCAGAAACCCTGGAAGTGGGGCCCAGCAATCTGAGGGTTTTTGTTTTGTTTTGTTTGGTACCAGGGATTGAACCCAGGAGCGCTTAACCACTGAGCCACATGCCCAGCTCTTTTTATTTTTTATTTTGAGGCAGGATCTTGTTAATTGCTTAAGGCCTCACTAAGTTGCCGAGGCTGGCTTGAACTTGCAGTCCTCCTGCCTTAGACTCTCAAGCCTCTGGGATTTCAGGCATGTCCCACAATGCCCAGCAAGTTATCTGAGTTTTAACAAGCTCTTCAGGGGGTTCCTAAGCACACTCAAGTTTGAGAAACAGTGTAGAAAAGCAAAAGATGTTTTCAATCTTCAGGAGGGAAGAGATGATAATGATGGTAGAGTCTTGGCCTTAAAGGAGAAACTGAAATACACATTTCAGAAAAGTGAAGAATAAATTAGCATGCCCAGGTCAATACCCAAGAAGGGAAATGATCAAATTCCATGTCTCAGAGGCACTGCTTAAAGAACAGGGTGATTAGCTCATGCAAGAGAAAATCCAAAGGCTGGGGCTATAGCTCAGTTGGTAGAGGGTTTGCCTTGCATGTACAAGGTCTTGGTTCAATCCCCAGCACTATCCGAAAAAAGAAAAACAACAACAAAAAAATATATACAGAGAAGAACCAAGAGAACCGTGATAGTGGCTTTGAAGCAACAGGAGAGCTAGCAAGCAGAAAAGTAATGAGAAGCAGTGAGGAAGTATCTCAGTAGAGCGCTCGCCTAGCATGTGTGAGGTTCTAGGTTCAATCCCTAGTATTGCAAGAAAAAGAAAAAAAAAGTAGTGAGGCTAATGTAGAGACTAGGATTAGGACAATAGTGAGTTAGAGAAGGTCAGTAGAGCACCCTGAGTAAGACTTGCCCAAAGGTGGGTTCATCACCTGAGGTGTGAGTTTCTCATCAGAGGCTGATAGGAGAAATCTCATACCACACTAAATTGAAAAATTTCAGAGCTCGAATGGAAGAGAGGCTATAGGAAAATGCATCTATAGATGAGCTTACTCAGAAAGACCATGACATGGCAGGGCAGAAGCTCTTACACCAGAGCAGCAGCAGGTCTCTTAAGATGAGAAGACAGAATCAGACTGCATCATGGCATGCTAGATGGAAAGAAAGACCTTCAGATAATGACCATGTGGCCTGCGTGGGTGGGGATTTTTTTTTTTTAACTATCTTTTCCCTCTTATAAAGGATCAAGTATTTATTATCTGCCATGGCTGATGGAGGATCCTTCTAGCAGGGTGGGAAACGGACCTATACTTATCGCTCAGAGGAAGTAATTAGCAGCTGTGAATTTTAATCCTGGTCTTTCTGGTGTTAAACCTTTGATTTAGTCACTTGATGCCTTAAAAAGTCTATTTTCTTTTCTCTACAAGAGAAGAAAAGAGGTGACTCATGCCCTGGGACATGGTAGTCTGGTGGCAATGGCCTGGGTCCACTGTGTAGTTCAATATCTTCCCCAGCCCTGTCTCATGGACTGTGTCCCTGTTCCCATGGACAGCAAGGTCAGGCTTCCTACGAACGTGTGTCTGGATTCCTAACTGGATACAAAAAAGATATCCTCTAGTCAGCACCTTAATAGTTTTCAACTCAACACTCCATCTTTCAAGCTTAGATTGTGGTTCTAAGTACAAGTTGTAGGAGGAGCAGTGACATGGGCTTCCTCAAAAGTCAGGACTGAAAGGCCTCACTGAGCCTCACTGTGCCCACAGGTTTCTCTCCACTCTCATCCCTCTGGGTCCCTCTGCTCCTTTACATAATGCTTCCGTGGAATTCAGGAACGCCCAGCATGTCCTGTATTGTCTGAGCTCCCGTGGCTTACAGATTGCTTTTCAACACACTCTTTAGCCTTTCCCTTCGAGACCCAAGCTAAACATCCTGGACCATATCCCAAGTATACCAAGCAGGAGCCGAGCACTAAGAATATCTGTATAAAGCCTCAAATTAATTTTCAAACCATCATGATTCTGTAGTATTAAGGTTTTGGTTTTTCTATCTGCCACCAGACTAGCCAAGATCAATATTATAGATTACTAATTCTGAATTGAATGGCGCTAATAGGAAAATCAAGTAAGGGGAAAAGTGTATAGGCTTTGTTCTGAAAAAGTCAAGACACAGGACACATATGATGAGCATGTGTGGGCAACTGGAACTGCTCCGGCCTGAGATGGCTCATGGTGGCCAGAGGTTAGAGTGTGCCAGAGCCCCAAGCCAGCATCACCTCCCCACCTGCCAGGCACCATACCTGCTTTCCTCCCAGTCTCTGGGCTTCTTGGTTTCATTTGGTTTTATGCAGCGAATATAGTGGGGTGTACATTTCATCAGGGTGCTCACAAGATCATTGGCTTGTTTCTAGACAGGAAGAATGATATCAGTTAGAAACATGGAACTTTCTTTAAAGTGAGATCAACCTTCAAAGGAGACTTGTGGGAGTGTAACTATGGTAAAATACGACTGGAAGGAAGTTAACCTTCATGACAATTTGTTCATTAAACGTAAATCGGGTCTACTAAGCATTCTTAAAGCTCTGCTAATTTTTACGATGGTTTTATCACTCTTAAATGGGTTGGAAATTCGATCATTGAAAGCAACCAAGCATTTTTAGCACAGTTAATAAACACCCAGAAAAACAAAAAAACTCAAGTAAATCTTCACAGGCAATTCTTTTCATGGGGTACAAGGAAGCATGTTAATTAAGTTCAATTTATGTTGATAGAGGCCTTTGCAAATTCATTGTTCTCATTAAAAAAAAAAAAAAAAAACTATGAGTATAAAAATCTCTAAATCCCCTGCATTCTCTTTTCTGGAATCTAATCAACAAACAATCACCTTATTAAAATGATAGAAATTCATAATTGAAAGATGTAAAGATGATAAAAATCTCCAAATTTATAAACTTCTTGTATGCCACTTAATTGTGCTTCTTCCTCAATAATAAACCTGCAGGCTCTGAGCACTTTCCTTGTGGCAGATCACTTGTTCCTTCACAAAGCTAAACCATTCCAAATAAAACCATTAGTAAAGGCTCCCCAAAACATAATTTGAGTTCAAGCAGGAAAAACTACATAAATAAAGCTGGAATTGCTCAGGATATATTTCTAATCATGAGAATCTTGTGCTTTGTTTGAAGAAATAGGAGTCAGGCTCACATCAGCATTCCCACCACAGCTGAGTACACCCTGTGAGCCCACGGATGTGGCACATATGCTAACTCTCCTTCCAAGGGTGAAGAGAGAAAACCTCTAAAAGAAAATAGCAAAAAGGCATCTCCAGAGCTGGGAAACCATTCTAGTCAGCAGAAGGGATTTGCTTGCAATAGGGATTTGCTCTCTCAATTAGGGCTTTTCTGTTTTCATGGGTTTGGGAAATCTGAAACCCTTGAGAAAAACTACTGGGTATGTTCAAAGCAAGATGTTCATTGGTGAATTACGTTCTCTATTTAGATATGCAGAAAACAGCATTTTTTGCAATGCCTGAAATTGAGGACAGAGCTGGAGGCTGCCCCGTTAAAGCGAAACCGTCTCATGAAAAAGCAAATTGTTTATCTTCTTTGATGATATAGACTGCACTTGAAAACAAATCTGACGATGTTTGCAACATATAAAGTGAAGCTGAAAAGAAAATGCAGAATGGATTAGAGTAAACAAAGCTTTTCTTTATGTCCTCGAACTATTAATTTTTAAACTAAATTTTTGATACTAATTTTTTATTTAATTAAGGCATCAAATTAAAAAAAAAAAACTTCACAGATTCTTCAGTCTTACCTAAACATTTAGCAGCACATTTTCTTTTATACTGTAATGTCAGAAAGCAGACAGAGGCAAGTGTGACACAAGTTTGTGTCACTTGACATAGTTCTTTCCAAAATCCTCACAGGCAAGGTTGACAGAGTTTGTGTCATGGGGTATACACATGAATCATCTCACCTTTGTCCCACAAGACCTTAAATGGTAGCTACTATTATCATTCCTGTTTTTCAGGTGAGAAAACTGGGCCTTAATGGAAGAAAGGTTTGCTTAAGATGAAACGATTTTTAAGCAACAGGGCTAAGGCTTGAACCCAAGTCCATGTTTCTCAACCACAATGCTATTCTGCCTTCCTAACAAGAGTAATTTGGTGTGACAGAAAATGAATTAACTGGGCCAGGTGCCATGGTGCACCTATAATCCCAGCAACTTTGGAGGCTGAGGCAGGAGGATCACAAATTCAAAGACAGCCTCAGTAACTTAGGAAAGCTTTGAGCAACTTAGTGAGACCCTGTCTCAAATTAAAAAATAAAAAAGGCTGGGGATGTAGCTCAGTGGTAATGTGCTCCTGGGTTAAGTTCCCAGTACCAAGAAAATGAATTAATTGGGTGAGCCAGATTTAGACAGAAGCCATCAGGTTGTAGAATAATTAATTTCAACAAAGAGGAATGTGTCTTAGTCATTAGGATCATCCTGAATGTCAACACCTATGGGTCAGCTTAACTGAGGTGGTGGCAAAGTGGTAACTGGATTAGCTTTGATTCTAGTCAGCCTACAGGTTAGGACAGAAAGGAACCAATAATACTTCTCAACAGCAGAGGGAATCAAAATAGAAAACCCCAAGACAGGACAGCGATAAAAGGCTAGGGGAAAAGTTTCTCATTTCACTCTTGACAGGATGAAGTAGGGGAGTAGGGGTCAGCTCTGCTATTAGTGAGTTACATGATGAATTACTCAACTTTTCAGGCTTCAGTTTCTCTATCTGTAAACTAGAAAACCTATAATATCTTAATCTAAATGTTGGATTAGATGTTAAAAACTCAAGCAGTCCATGGGGTAGGGATGTAGCATACATGAGGCCTGGGGTTCATTCAATCCCCAGCACAGGGGTGGGGGTGGGAATCAAGCAGTCAATCACCTGCACAATGTCTGCACCCATCCTGTCATTCCACCCTATAGGGCTCCAGCCTCACTCAGACAAAGCTGTGGTCAGTCCACCTTCTCCAACCTGGAGCTTGGTCTGTTTCCCTCCAGCATCCTCTTTCACTCTAGTTTCCAGACTGGTCTCTTCCAGCCACAACATAAAATTCAGTGAGGCCTCAGCATCAAGTGTTGTTAGACATAATATACTTATTAGTAGTCAAATTGATGGACATTCTCACACGAATATTTAAATTAAATCCTATAGTTTTAAATCTTTTAATAATTAGAAAACAATATCCAACACTAGAACTACCTTGAATATCAATTTAATCTTTCTTTCAAGGATCTCAGGAATCCTTTCCATGCTTCTATCTTGAGGAAATCATTACAATGATACTTAATGACATCTGCAAAATACTGTGGATATTGCAGAATATAAAACTTGGTCATGACTCTGTATCTTCAAAAGGTGTATTAGAGGAGACATAAAAACCAGGGAAACTTTCACTCCTGGTAGACCATGAGGTAGACAGAGGTCAACAATCCTCCAAGAAAGGTATGATCATGGTTGAGAAAATACAGCATGACCCCTTTACATAAGGTGGCTGACTTCAGTAACAATGGCCTAAAATCTGTCATCTTAAACATTTGGAGTAGCTCAGGAAGGTGGCAATTTTGGATATTCAAGAAGACACCAATATAAAGGGAAGAAAGGGAAGGTGTTCATGGGAGGATAGAAAGGCTTTTATCCCTGTTCTTTTGTTTATAGGGTAATAATCCAGACCACTTGAAAGTGAGTCATTTGCAACCTTGATGATCTGGGGCCCTTGGCTCTGAATGTGACAGTCTTATGACTAGATTTTCCATCCCAGAGCAAATTCTTATCCGGGACCTGGAAGTGAAGCCATGAGTCAGAAACTTCACACAGACATTAATATCTAAGGCCTCACAGAAACTTCATCTATTCCCTGCCCTCAACATTTTGCTGCAGAAGATTATCCCAGTGGCTGCCTGATGGCTACTAAATTTCTCCAGCTCTTTGAATTTGATGTCCCTATAACTCAGAGGGCTCTGCTCTCCAGCTCAAAACATAGCTTGTAAAGTCAGGTGGTGTGTCCAGTGCCTGCAGTCCTAGCTACTTGGGAGCCTGATATAATAGGATCACTTGAGCCAGGAGTTTGAGGCAACATAGCAAGACTGTCTTAAAAAACAGCAAAAACTGAGCAAGCTGGGCATGGAAGCATGTGCCTGAAATCCCAATTACTCAGGAGGCTGAGGCGGGAAGATCCCAAGTTCAAGGCAAGCCTGGGCAACTTAGTGAGACCCTGTCTCAAAATAAAATTTTTATAAAAGGGCTGCGGATGTAGTTGAGTGGTAGATCACTTGTCTAGCATGTATAAGGCCCTGCTGGGTCTAATCCTTAGCATCACACAAACACACAAGAGAAAAAAAGCACCAACTGGCACCTGGTTTCCTCTACAAAACCTGAAGGCTCCTCTTGGCTGGAATCTTCTACTACTATGAGCTTCCAATGATGGTTTCCTTTACTCCTGCCAGGGTCTCTGCCTTCAGGAAGCTTACCAGGTGCTAGGATGGCAGGCTTCCCCCATGAAGCCTTGAAGATGAGGAGCCAGAGAACAGAGCAGCCAGCACCAGTCATTGTATTCATGAGGCTGGGCTATCCAGGTGGGCTCAGTGAAAGGACATCATGGATTTAGACACTGAGTGAATAAGGAGGAAACAGCCATCTGTGGGGAACCAGCACATGCACATAAAAATGTCCACTCAGAATTAAGCAGAGATGAAGCAGAAACAGTGGTACATACTGCAATCCCAGGGACTCAGGAGGTTGAAGCAGGAGAACCCCAAGTTTAAGGCCAGCCTCAGCAATTTAGAAACACCCAGCATCAAGATTAAAAAAATGCAAAGGGCTGGGGATGTAGGTACTTGGTTCAACTCTTAGTACTATTAAAAAAAATAGAAAAAGAAAATTAAGTAACACAAACAGGATGTAGGGAGGGAACTGACAGAGTGGAATACAAGAGAAACTGACAATCATTTTGTGCAAACAATGTTTCAAGTGCTGTGTTAAATGCTTTAGATGAATTATTAAATTTAATCATCACATAAACCCCTTGAGATAGGTACTAAGCTCTCCATCTTACAAATAAGCCAAAGAGGACCTGAGAGTTAAAGTAACAGGCTGGGTATCACACAGCCAGTGAAAGCCAAAACTGGAATTGAACATAGGCAATCAGAAGCCCAAAGCCTTACTATTAATCACTGAATGACCTCTTTGATTGTAAAGTTGGAGAGTTATGTAACTGGTATGCTTTTTAAGAAAATATTTTTAACTGGAAATGGTTTAGAAAATAGTTAAGTGACTACGTCCCAGAGTTACATGATAAAGTGTGCTTGATATAACCTCTCAATTCAGAGCATAATCAGGAACAAAGAATTTCACAAGGCAATGGCTCAGATAACATAGAACAACTCACTAGCCTCAGGAGACCCCAGGAAAGATCTAAGAATTCCTTCTGACTTTGAGACACCATGTGGCCAGATGTGTTTGCAATTCCCAGCAAGGAGGGGACGGCAAGACCCAGTGAGGAGCGATGCAGAATGGGCCCTCCTGGATAAGCCCAGCCTCATGGACACCGTGACTGGTGCTGGATGCTCTGTTCTCTGGCTCCTCATCTCCAAGGCTTCATGGGGGAAGCCTGCCATCCTAGCACCTGGTAAGCTTCCTGAAGGCAGAGACCCTGGCTGGAGTAAAGGAAACCATCAGTGGAAGCTCATAGCAGTAGAAGATTCCAGCCAAGAGGAGCCTTCAGGTTTTGTAGAGGAAACCAGGTGCAAGTTGGTACTTTCTGGTTTTGTTTTTGTGATGCTAAGAATTAGACCCAGGGCCTTATACATGCCAAGCAAGTGCTCTACCACTGAGCTACATCCCTAGTCCTTTTAAAATTTTTAAATTGAGACTTCACCCTGAAAGATGAAGCTGAATTTTAGGCAAGTAATGTTCTATACTTGGCAAATTTTGGAGCCTGGCCTGGAAAACTGTCATCAAGATCTGAAACATGGCTCCGAACCACAAAACTTGTGATCGTTTAACATAAGTTCTTCCAGATCTGAAGAAAGTAGCTGGTTGTCATCTGCTGACTATTAAGCTATGAGGTACTTAATACCCATTGGAGATTCAGAACAGCCAAGTAAATTCAGCTGGCATCCTGTGACCTTTTTACAAGTAGCCTATTACTTTTGGGCATCTCTGTGCCATCCACTTGCCCCCTCCTGGCCTGGGGGTATAGTTCCCAACTCCTAGGAACTCTAGCTCTTCTAGGAATCTATAAACTTTCCCAAATAGAACAAACCTTTATTTTACTTCCCGCAGTAGTTGGGCGTCCTTTCTTGTCAGCTTGCAGATTTTCAGGAAATAAAGATTTTATAAAAGGTCTAGAAAAGGAGAGAGAGAATAGGTTAGCAATCTGTAAGTGCCTTGGTGGGTAAAAGCTTACTTCTGTAGAAAAAGGGGTGGGGCACCGTCCAGAAACACAAAACCTTGGCCACTGAGAGACCATCCGACTCACAGTGCGAGCCAGAAAGATGTGACTCAGGGGAAATGAACTACCAACATAAGACACAAAGAAGGATTTCTAACATGTAAGCATCTCAGAGTCTCAGCCTGAAAAACCCTTAAAGCCTGGCTTTGGAACATCCCTACCCACTGGATATGAGGTACCTAGGTCATAGAATACAACAGAGGCAAACGGATATGTGTTTGCCAAAACAAACAGGAGCTTAAGGAATTGTGTGGAATATCTGGATTCAGTGAAGAGGCCACTGTGCTATGGAGCAGGGATTATGAACCTGGGCAGGAGCTGATGGTCACAGCTGGAAATTCTTTGTTGGGAGTGGGTGTTCTACACATTGGAAGGTACTTAACAGCAGTGTCCTCTGCTCACAAATGCCATTAGCACCCAGTCTTCACCCCCATACAGAAAACCTTCACAAACTGCTCTATGAATGATTCCAAGTGGAGCTGTATCAGGTTTCTAATGCTTCTCTGGCTGGATGTTAGTCCTCAGTAGTTGTAACTGAGCTGCTTGTACCAACATACCTGCCTCATCAGATATAGGGTAGGGACAGTGTCTTAGTCACCTTAGTGCCTCTGGTGTCTGAAGCATGGCATGGTACATAGTAGGTGTTTAATAAATATTTTCCATCTGAGTGAATGAAGTGATCCATGTAAACTGGCAATGTAACACTCAAACTCCTTTCCTCTTAAGTGACTTTTTGGGTATCTAGAACTTTCTCTGAAATCTCCCCAACAACCTGCTTTTTGTGGAGGAGGGAGATGGAGTACTGGGGATTGAACTCAGGGGCACTCGACCACTAAGCCACATTCCTAGTCCTATTTTGTATTTTATTTGGAGACAGGGTCTTGCTGAGTTGCTTAGCACCTCACTTTTGCTGAGGCTGTCTTTGAACTCACGATCCTCCTGCCTCAGCTTCCTCAGCCACTGGGATTACAGATGTGTGCCACTGAGCCTGGCAGCAATCTGCTTGTAACTTGACCAGACATAATTATAGACATGTGCAGCTAATACGCTTACAAAACGGTGTATTGTGTCTATATGACAGGAGTTTATGTGGAACCATCCATAGCTCTTGAACTTGACAGGAATTTTAATAATTAAAAACTATCTCTGGAAGCGAGTCTTCACCTGGCTGCTATAAAACCCACAAGTCAGGACTTGCGGCTTACCTGACCTTGTTAGAGAAGAACAAATTGATTTTATGTGCTCTGAATGAAAAGAAATCTGACATCTCAAAGGTGGTGGTGTCTGTGCGAGGAGGTGAGAGCACGGGGACAGGAGACTGGGGAGGGATGTGGGTGGTATAAATGGAACAGAATGGCTTCTGACCAAGACCTGAAAAGGAAGCTCTGTTTTACTTTCATGGCAGTTAGGATGTTCTTAGAAAGTTACCAGAACCTCTGCTGTTAGTTAGAGAAGTCAGCCTTGATGTCAGGACAGTGTAAGTAACAGAGACTGAAAGGGCAGATCTTAATGGGAAGCAGCTCTAAGAACTCTAAGATCTGGAAGGCTGTAGGGAACAATGCACTTGCCTGGCACATATGGGCCACTCATGAACATTACATCTCCTTATCCATCAGCCAGGACCTCAGAGACACAGAGCTGGTGCTGAGAGCTCTACCCCATAGCCTGCACAGGGCCTGGGGAGTTAAAATGGATCTTTGAATCAATCCATTTTAGTTGCCCTTCCCAGAATTCTTGGGTTCCCAGTACCTCAGGAACACAGGTTAACTTGGATCTTGTTAAGCCACTAGTCATCTTTAAGACTAAGCAACAACGGAAATTCTTTTGCCTTTGTTCCAAGGGCACAATATCACAGAAGCAGGTTGTTCCACTCGTAAGTGGTCATAAATGGCCACCCGATCTAAACCCAGTGTGGCCCCTCCTCCTGGATAACAGTAGAAGTTAGGCATACAAATAGCATTTAGAATTTGGGGACAGGAAGGATTAGGAGCACAAGGGAGAGATTGAGATTTGAAAAAGGAACACTATTTTGAAAAACCAATAGTTGAATCATAAGCCAGACTTGACAGTTCAGGGGAGCAAAAACACTAATACTCCAATACTACAAGTTTGTTTTAATATTGAAAATGTCAAACCTGTATTACACATTAGATAAGGCAAATAACACTTACAGCTCGCTGCTCTGCATGAGTTCGATTAGATCCATAAAAAGTACATCACGGTTCCTTTCACAAAAGCCATCCATGTCATAGGATACCTGGATAAGAATGGAAAGAAATCTAATTTTATCCTTCAAGTTTTTCTTTGGATCAAAAAAAAAAATAAATAAATAAATAAAAATAAAACAAAACCTCCCAGGGGCATGGCTATCCTCACCAGAATGTGTTTCTAGATGTAGCATTGGGATTTGACCACAGACTGTCACTTGAGGGCTGTGTTAGCTGGAGATGGCCTGCAGATACTGATGAACATCTGGTTGCCCAGATGGCCCCAATGACCTGTGACCAGGACTCCATCTCTCAGATCACATGCCCTTTCTTCAAGGAATCCACAGGGATATTTAAGCAATAAATTTAATTCTTTTCCTAAATTTTACGCAAGACAGAATAACAGTGAAACTCCTCATACTCATTAATCCATTGCAATGGGCCACGTCATCTGTATCTTTGTAATTCTTCCCAGAAATGATTATTGGAGTTGCACCAATCTGGCCAGAAACTCCTGCTTGGAGACCTTGGTTAACAAGGGACAGGCTGAGATAAAAGATGAGACTAGTGGGTGTTGAGAGCCACAGCCGAAGGGGCCCCAGCAAACTTCCAGCTGCCAGCATTTCCATAGGACCAGGAAGTCCCTAACAGCCATGACCAAACGTCACACCAGCACCCTCTACAGAGCCTGGCACTCAGTAAGCACCTAAGACTCATGTATTTCATGAGAACAAACACCAAAGTGAACTTTGGGTCTGATTTATATTCTCAGTGGGCTTGGGCAGGCAAGGAATGCAAGTTTATGAGTTCAGCAAGGGCAAGACAAAAATCCATTCCTGCATTACTATATGTACCAGGGTGATTCATGCTTTAAAAATATTCAGTAGTGTAAACAGTATTTTGTTTTTTCTCCTCAAATACTTCATGGGTACTATTTGTTTTTTTTTTTTTTTTTTTTTTTTTTTAAAACTGTTCTTTTTTTTTTTTTTAATATTTATTTATTTTTTATTTTTAGTTTTTCGGCAGACACAACATCTTTGTTTGTATGTGGTGCTGAGGATCGAACCCGGGCCGCATGCATGCCAGGCGAGCGCGCTACCACTTGAGCCACATCCCCAGCCCGGTACTATTTGTTGAATGAATAAAATGCAGTGAGGCATATGGACATGGATCTCATTTGCTTCATGAGAAAACAGATCACAGACCCAACAGTAAGACATTAAAATGGATCACTTCCCTCTCCTGCTGGACCCGGGTCACTGGCCCTACCTTCCCAGCGTAGTGGTGAATAATGAAGCCTTGGTTCCAGCTGTTGAAGTGTTCATGATTCCCAATCTGCATCTGGAGCTTCTGGAGCAGTGTCTGATCGGCCCCCTCGCCCACAGCGTGCATGGTGGCACACACGTCATCCAGGATGCTCATGATCCCAGGAGGGTTCTGCCAGACCAAGAAGGCAAGGCCCCCGTCACTGATCCTTCTAAAAATACCTAGTGCCAATTGGCCCTTAAGCAAGGAAACTGCTTCCTAAAGCTAAGGTACCATCTTTAAAGTCAGTCTTCATCTTCAGGCATTAATGTACTTAATCCTAAACAGGGAGTCATCACTTATGACTTGGCTCCAGATGGTCCAAGATCCATTTTCCAAGAAGCTGTTTAACTCCCTCAAGTTTATTTAAAGTCATGTACAGATCATTATCTGCTCACTCCTATTCATACTTGTTTGACTTTAACAGGCCAAAATAAAAATTAAAACATTTGTCTTTGACCCTAATTCATTTCTTAATATTCTCTTTCAGCCTGTCATTCATATATAGATACTGCTGGTGCAGTTACACCATCTACTTGCTATTGTGCATTACTTTTTTTTCATTTAGCAGTCTTTTATAAACATTCCTCATGTTTTACCCATATTTATTATTTCCCTGCTCTGACACACTAGTTTATTTAATGACCAGATGTCTATGGATGTCATGAGTATTTGTTGTTTTTTCCCTTTTATTAAAAAACCAACCAAACAAACAGAAACAATTCTTTAACGCTCTCTGTCTACACAGCTTTTATTTTCTTATGAATCATTTATTACAATTAGACTTGAAGACAGGGCCTGTTTTATTGCTCTTTATAAACTATGTTATCAACATAAGTGATGGCTATCTTCTAGAATTCAGCAGTAACTTCCATTTGCAAATTGACATTTTGCTCATACACATGTCATATTTACCATAAGAATAAAACTTTACTGTTCTGTTTTCACATGCACACATATACAGAAACCCAAAGTAACTGTTAAGTGTTCTATATAAATTGGAGTTGTTAATTTGCCTGTTCTAAAACAATAAAACAGAGCACACAAACTACTTTACGTAAACCCATACTCACAACTTTGTTCTCTATGAGGTCGCACACGATTTTGTTATTAAAGTACTCAATGGGTGTCCATCTTATTCCCTCTTGAACATATTCTTCCTGTATGACAAAAACCAGGTACTCACATAAATCACTGTGAAAGAAAAACTTGAATGTCCTTCAACAAAGACTAGGAACTGTAATTTCTTATTTTCCAAGAGGTGATAGGAAAGGAACATTTCATAACTTGGTAATTTTTATGTTTAGTTTAAACCATATGAAATTGCTATAATACAATTGTTTTTCATAGACAAAAATGATAATTTAATATTGTTTAGTCTATTTGATCCCATTACAAATAAAACAAAGAAATCTCTCTTTGGTGTAAACATAGGACGGTAGTACAATTAGCATCAAGGTACCTAAAGAAAAGGTTCTCCATTCAGATCAGTTGCCATTTAATGTAATGAACATCATGTGAAGAACCGCACTGTGCTGGTTCTTCTCCTTTCTTGGTAGTTTTGCTTTATAACTCCCTTTGTTAGATTAGTTCTTCTTTCCAGACCTTGATATAGAATGGAGAGTCTTAGGACTCAATCTTCCAGCTGTCTTGATTTTTTAGCCCTCCTTTTCTAAGTTACTACAAACAATCGAATGGCTTTGAATAACACATAAAAGCTAATGAGACTTGGATTTATTTTTCTAGTCTACACCTTAGCAGTGAGTTCTAGACTCATATATTCCCTGTTTTGGAATCTCCAGGTAAATGTACAGTAGGCCTCTCAAATTTAATATTGAGAGGAGTTCTATTTCCAAATCTCGCACTATTTCCAGTCAACTGTTCTTCTAATCTGAGACTTCAGTAAACAGTTGTGCTACTGGCCCTGTCATTCAAGTTATAAATCTAGGAGTCGTAATGTCCCTGATTACTTTCTTTCTTAAGAGTATTGCCAATTTTTTTGATCTAGTCCTCTTGGGTCCATGCTCCAAAATATGTACTGAACCTGCCCGCCCTTTACCATGTTACCAGTGGCCCTGCTACCATTGTTGTCTGAGCCCCCACCATTTCTTGCTTGGTTTCCCACAGGCAGGCTCCTAACTGGACTTCAACCTTCTACTTTGGTACAGTTTTCCCTGAATTACTCTACTATTTAAAGTTAATAGAGCAAGAACAACCTTTTCAAAAACACAAAAATCGAAGCAGATCATGTCACTCCATACTCAGAATTCTTCAATGGGTCCCCACAAAACTTATCATAAAATTAAAAGAGTCTGAGTGACACCCTATAAAATACCTATATGATTCAGTTCCTGCTACTTTCATCTCAACTCCTCACCTTGGTTGTCTCCTCTGCACTGGGAAGGGCCAGGATCCCAGGGCAGAGCTTTGTGTGAAATACTGGTCACTGTAGTTTCTTAAGCAGAGGCAAAAACACAATCACTAAATTACCTCCAAATAGTCTTTGATATATGGAGGAGCTGGAATAGTATCCCACTAAATTTCATATTCACCCAGAACCTCAGAATATGAGGTTTGGAAATAAGATCTTTGTAGATTTAATTATTTAAGGATCTCATGATTAAATCATTCTGAACTTAGAGTAACCCCTAAATCCTAAGATTGGTGTCTTTAAAAAAGAAAGAAGGAAACTGAACACAGTGGTGCATACTTAATCCCAGTGACTCAGGAGGCTGAGGCAGGAGGACTGCAAGTTCAAAGCCAGCCTCAGCAACTTAGTGAGACCCTGTCTCAAAATAAAATAAAAGGGGTTGGGGTGTAGCTCAGGCTTAGGTGGCCACTACTGGGTTCCCTAGTACCACAAAGAAAACACACACACACACACACACACACACACACACACACATGAGGGTGGGGTGGGGAAAGAGAAAGAGAAGAAGAAAAAAAGAGAGAGAGAGAGACGGAAGGAAAGGAAGAGGGAAGGTTATACTGCCACAGCCAAGGAGTATCAGAAGCCACCAGAAACTGGAAGAGGAAGAATCTTAGGAATCTAGGAAGGATTCTCTCCCAATTCTTTGAAGAGAATGTGACCCCTGATTTCAGACTCTGAGCTCCAGAACTGCAAGAGAAGAAATGTCTGCTGTTTTTAAAGCCATCTAGTTTGTACCTCCTTATGGTGGCCCTAGGAATCTAAGACAAGCTGGCATCAGGAATGAGATGGAAACTGCAATGAACTTTTAGAAGATGGTATCAGCAAGACATGTTACCTCAAATGAGAATTAAAATGCCAATTTTGTTAAAAATACATTTACTTTTAGGGGAGATTGGGAGTGCTGTGAATCTGAGAAAACCAAGTTTCTCCTTTGGTACACAGTATATGCATAGACAATTGGGGTTGGAACTAGGCTCCCGTTTTCCACTTGGTCAATGAGTCAGAGTATAGTAAAAACAGCCAGTCATAAGTCCAACTTCACAGCATCCTTTGCCGAAGGAAAAAGAAAGTGTAGCAGATGGTATTTATATTTCATAAACTAAAATGCTGCAATGGCATATGGTTTTTCTGCATGACTTTATTAGGTATATTTCCTAATACAAGACTGAAACCTGAATCTATTATCAAAGAACAAATCTATACCCCTTAAACCAAATTAGAATAGAACAGGATGAAGGAGAGAGACTGCTTACCTGTTCCGCCTTTAATGTCAGTTCAATAAAAATCTGCTGTAATTTCTCATTAACAAAATTGATGCAAAACTGTTCAAAGCCATTTTTCTGGGGAGGAAAAAAAAGTAGTTGCTTGTAATAATTTTTCAAAATTATTTAAAAGTCATTTCTTAGTGATTTAGAGAAATGTCTCAAAGTGAAAAGCTTTAATAGCAATGTTGAATGCATCAATAGAAAGAAGCATAATTTATATTTAGGAGAAATTAATTTAGTAAAGGTACATGAAGAACTCACAAAAGCAAAAATGAGCTTTTTTTTTTTCTTTCTTCTTGTTAAATTATTTATTGCAGACCTCCAATCTCCTATTATTCAAGCTGGCCTTACCTGGAATATTTCAAAACCATAGATGTCCAGGACGCCAATGTTATATTCTTCATGGTCCTTCTCCATGGCTTTATTGATGGACTAGGAGAAAGCACACAGCAGGGCAATTAACTCCTTTTCAATCATATTAAAAATAGGCATTGGGGGAGGATGGGACTACTGCCCCCTGGAAACAGAGGACAATGTGAAGACAGGTGACTTGCTTTAAAAAGGTCTCAGTGCAATGTCAAGTGCTTTGGAAAACCACTAGGATCCTACATACTGCAGTAGCTAAAAATGTTCACTTAATGGTGAAAACCATTACTTTCTGGCAGTTAGTTTTTCTCAGGAAGTCTTGGAAATTAGAAGAAAATGTCATTCTGGATTTTCGAAGGAAAACCTATTTCACATGATTCACAATATTACAAAATCTGTAAATGTCATTTCCATTGTCCCCATTCTACAGTCACTTAATGATCGTATAACACAATATGCCAAGGATACCAAGGGCGAGAGTCCCTGCTCCCAGGAGATTACAGGGATAGATAGTAAACTGTGTATAGATAATAACAGCAATGATTTTAAATTGGTAGTAAGTGCAGTTTATGTGTATTTGAGCATCACCTGTGCCGGGCAATACTTAATACTCATTATGATTCTCATAATGGCTTTGATGCCACTATTATCCCCATTTTCCAGATGAGTGCCTACGATTGCACTGGCCAAGAAGCAAGGTTCAGGATTTAGTTTAAGCACTGTGATTTCTAAATCTGGATTCTTGATCACTATGACAAAAGACCATGCAATTCAATGAAATAGACTTAATAACAACCTGTAAGTCTGATGAAATAGACTTAATTCTTTTCTTTTTTTCTTTAGAGGGATAATGTCTATTTTAATTCTAAAAAAATTAATAGAGTATACAGAGGAAAAGCAGTATGTGGGGGGCTGGAGATATAGCTCAGTTGGTAGAGTGCTTGCCTTGTATGCACAAGGCCCTGGGTTTAATCCCCAGCACCAAAACAACAAACAAACAAACAAAACAAAAAAAAAAAAAAAAAAAAAAGGAAAAGCAGTATGTGAATTCTGCTCTTAATTCTTAATAGGTATAGAATAGAGGGGGGTTGTAAGGGAGGCAGAGAACAAAGGAATACAAGATTCCTAGAGGTGGCAACCACCCGAAGTTTGGAGTATCAAGTATGTTCTCCAGGCAAAGAAAAATGGTGCTTTTTTTTTTTTTTTTGGTGAGCTAATAGTGATATACCATATTCAGCAGTACATGTCAGCTTAAATTATGCTAATTACATAGGCATTCATCCACATTCACTGAAAAAAAGAAAAAAATGAGGAATGACAGGAAGGAAGGTGGGAAGTCTAATGCTGAAAGGTGCCCTGAACAGAGCCAAGAGCTGTGGGTTCTAGTCCCAGTTCTGCACCTTTCTCATTCCAGGCCTTGAGCAAATCCACCAGTCTTCAGATTCCCTGCTTGGTGAAATAAACTTAAACGCAAGACCCTGACCTTCCCAAGCAATCTTATCCTTCAAATAGCTACAAGGAGGACACAAAGGCACCCTACCCGACCTTAACCCTTCCTAAGCTTTATAGGTGTTTCCACTTGGGTTCAAAAATAGACTCCTTGGATCCAGTGGCCTTGCTGTGTCCCTTGACCAGGGTTTCCCTAGGGTTTCCTTCTAGCCTGAATACATTAAGTCAAAGAAGTAGAAGAGCTAGATATCTACAAGCTCCTATAAAAACCATATAATAGCAGTGTAGCATTGGGAAAATTCCTTAGCTTCTTTGTGCTTCACTGATTTATCTGGAAATTAGAAATAATATCTAGACTACAGAGTTGTTGTAAGAAATAAATGAGGTATTTTTTCTAAAACAATTGAACAGTGTGTGGTACGTACTGCTACCTAAATGTTTGCTATTATTCTAGCATTAGAGGTTTCAGTGATTGACATCGAATAGCATTGGCAGCTCTATGAAGCCGAAAGACTAAATTTCGGAATATACATGTCATATATGTACATATACACTACATGCATATGCAGGCAAGTGTGTATGATTATGCCACAATAAAAAATAACGGTGATCATTTAAAAATATATCCAAAAAGTCTCTGATATTCCTTCCTTTGAAAAGTGGAGCCTAATTCCCCTCCCCTTTAGTGTGGACTATACTTGTGACTTGCTTCTAATGGACTAAACTGTGGCAAAGTGATAGTACTTAAATCCAAGACGAGGACATAAAAAACTTGTGGCTCATTACTCATGCTCTCTCTCTTAGCTCATGTACTCGGGAAAACCAACAACCAAGTTGTAAGGATATTCAAGCAACTCCATGTGGTGGCCCATGTAGCAAGGAACTGAAGCCTCCCGCCAACAACCATAGAAGGCATCCATCTTTCATAGTATCCTTAACCCTTCAACCTGATCTTTGAGTCAGGACCCCCAAGCTGGGCCAATTGCAAATACATAACCCACAGCGATTGTGAGAAAAATAAATGCTTATTGTTTCAAGCTGCTGTGTTGTGGATTGATTTGTCACACATCAACATGATAAATGCCTCATTACTAAACCCTAGGCTCCTGAGTTGAGAAAGGTTCAGGACCATGGGTTTCCTCTTTTTCTGAGTCACTAGACCTGGCTTTATTAAATGTTTTGACCAGAAGAAACTGTTTAGGTTTAGCTAATGTGTCTTGCTGAGCAATTCTAGAAGGAAAAGCAGGATTCCACAGTACCAGAGTGAGAGGATAGAAAGTGAAAAAGTAAGATCCTGATTACCAAGAATGAGGACTGGGTTTGTGGCTCAGTGGTAGAGTGCATGCCTAGCAGAAGTGAGGCACTGGGTTCGATTCTCAGCACCACATATAAATAAATAAAATAAAGGTCCATTAACAACTAAAAAAAATTTATATATATATATATATATATATATATATATATGTATGTATGTATGTGTGTGTGTGTGTGTGTGTGTATATATATAATGAATCAAAACCCTTAGTTATACTCCTTATAGATAAAATCTGAACATCGCTGATATCAACTTATGTCTACTTACTTCCACCAAGAAATCAAAGACACGGGCGTGCAGAGCCTTGGCAAGTGCATCCCTAGTGTAGCAGGCCTGCTCCACATTGAGGGTCACATGGATGGACTCTGACTTGCCTCCCCACTTGCTATCCATCTGCCGGCTCGTTAGTTTCTCTTTTAACCGGTCCTGGTTTATGCCCAGCAGATATGCAGGAAAAGCCAAGACTATAGAACATAAAACAAAACATGATTGTCTTACAGAAGTGTTAACAACTCATCTCCCAAACACATGGAGGCATTTGTGTGTGCATAATTTATGGACACAAGGCACCTTCCACCCCCTGAAACTTCCACTCTTCTGAAGGCTGCTTATCAGCAATCCCACACACATCCACCTACTTCATTTTTCATGGCCATTCTATTACATAAATAAATCCCTATGACGATGGAGACTTCCATACAGATCAGTGATCCCAGAAGGATGGTAGGCCAATCCCTCCTACTGAGATCACAGTGAAGTGCTGAAAATGGACATCTATCCAAGTCTTCAGCAAGGCAGCCTGGAAGGAACTCAATTAAAAAACATTTCTTTGGCTCAAATATTGTTTTCTTCCTTCTTGGTGCAATGTTTTCACAGCATCATTTCCAAAGACCTGGAAGCACCTGTTATCGTTGAACTAATAACTACAACCAATCACCTACTGGCTAAGTGCTTACCATGTGTTATGAAATAAGGAAAGAATACAAAATATTTAAGAAATCTTCAAGAAAATCTAGATGGGTAAAGACAGTTTACTAAACAACCCTCCTTCACAGATAGACAACAGAGTTCTGCAGGAATTTAGAACAGGAGGATATTGCTACTTGCTGGGGTAGATAGGAAGGTGTGGCATTTGGGCCAGGCCTGAAAGGATGAACAGGATTTGTTTAGATGTGGAGAGGGGAAAGGGATATGCAAAGATAAAGAAGCAGGAATGCAGGAGCTGTGGTTGGGAGGTGGTCTACACTGTTGACAGTATTGGCTGCAGCAGAGATACTAAGTTGAAAAACTTAGGATGGACTCAGTGCTGGGTTCTTGAATGGTAAGAGATATCTGGGCAGGAGGCAAAAGCAGGCATCCCTAGTGTAACAGGCCTGCTTCACATTGAGGGTCACATTTGAAAGAGGGACCTTGGAAGAAGACTTCCCTGGGGGTGGCAGATGGAGTGAAACAGAGGGGACTAGTGTCACTTATATCTCAGCACACATATTCTATTCTAACAACATGCAACAGGGTAATTGTTATGGTCTTGGATAGAAAAACAGACTCTCATGGCTTAGAAACTTATTTTGGGCCATGAAAATTACCAAGAAGAAGACTAGTTATATAGAAGGGATTTTCTTGATTTTTGTCAAAATGCTCTAATATGAATAAATGGCACCTTTCTTGGACATAAAAAGTGTTAGATTTTTCCATTATAAATGAAAGGTATTCATAGATGAAAGTACAAATTTTGAACTTGGATATGTCTTCTTTTTCTGCATAAAGCTTTACCAAAATTCTCTGATAAAGGACTGTGTTAAAGACCTTATAATAATGCTCAAAAATCACAAGCCTCCTGGTAAAGGATAATCAGTTTGAAGTGCACAGATGGTGTTAAAATGTAATGGGTTGACATTTCTCAGTACACACCTTCCAAAGAGATTAAGTCAGTGAATGCAACTGAAAATGTATAATGCCAGAACAAGGTATTTATCATGTATATGAGTATTTATCATGTACATGAGTATCATGTATATGCTTTGACTGGTGGAAGGGCTTCCTTTTCTAAAGGACACATGAAGAAAACCAAATGTGCTGATTTGCTGATGGCCCTTTCCTTTAGTTTAGTTTTAATGCTAACCCTTCTGGAGGTCTGGGTGTATCCTCCATTGAACTAAAACATCCTTTGCACAGAGTAAGGAGAGATGATGTCCACACATCAGATAGACACAGATAGGGTTCTTGTGAAAATTAAAGAGATGTTTACCTTAGTACCCAATGTACAAGAGGCCTTCATTGTCACACTGGTAATTACCACCAGCATTGGGGAGGGCCCATTTTACTAAATGTAATGGACATCATCCTCAATAGTTGATAGTCTATCCACCAGGGCCCCTTTCACTGTTAATGCAAACTACATTGTTTGTCTATTTTATAAGCATGGGCTTCTCCAAAACTCGTAGCCATACCAAAACCAAGGCACAGTTAAAATATCTGGTTATTATTGTCATGACCTCAGCTAAAAAACGAAAATAGGGCTAACACAAGAGTACTTGAGACAGACAGAGTGACTGACAGACAGGTACTACCCTTCCACCTCTTGTAATTCTTCCATAGAGCAGGCATGGCCAAAAGACTGCAGGCACTTGAAAAACAAGGCATGGAATTTGGCCAAGAACCAGAGCCACAAGCTTAGGGAAACAGCTATGAAGACTAGGGAGGAAATATATACTTGGTTTGGAAAAAATCCATGCCATGTTCTTCAAGAACAAGCTTTTATAGCCTCATATTTTTTTCAGTGGCTGCCCTGGTGCTGAAATTATAGGGCCACTTATATTGACTTCCACCAAGCTATGAATTCCATGAGGGTGGGTGAGCGTGGCTGCTTCTGAGAGTGTCAGCAAGGAAGCTTGGAGGCTTAGGGAAGATGAGGGGGGGTGAAGCAACGACTAATTAAAATGTTGCAACTTTAGTGTAGTTATTCAGAGTCATGTAAAATAAGAAGAACCTGCTAAAAGGTAATGTTTCAGCACATTTAACTAACAGAAATAGACTTCTGTTATTGCATTACGGTGTAAAGCAAAGTTGGATTTCATTTTTCCATTTAAATTTGAAGTATAGGGAAGAGAGAAAAGTAAAAAACATAGCAAAACAAAATTCCTTTCTTTTATAATTTTTTTAAAATAGTAAGGTAAATATGGTTCCTTTGTCTTTGGTGTTGAGGCTCTGTTTTCTCATCCATTAGTCATAGGGTAAAAATAAGGGGCCTTTACTCCTCATTTTATTAAAGTAGTATTTTTTTTTCTGTCTACAAACTTCTTAGGTTAATTTAGCATTTAATACCTCTTAAGAAAAACTTTTTTCCCAAAGTATGTCACTCACTGCATTGATGTTGGCAGGCATATAAGTGCCTAAGTTGAGGTTTGATTAGAAAATTCTATATCTCTTTTGGTCTAAGGTCAAATACATGCCTATTTTGCCTTAGTAGGCCCATTGTGATGGGATTCATAACCAATTTTTTTCCTACAATACAAAAGCTAGAGAAAAATGCTTTCTTTGATTATAAAAGCATAGATAGACTTTCCCTCTATAGATGTGTTGCATGGATAACAGGAGAAAGATAACATGGATCAAGGTTATTCGTTTCAGTAGTGTTCATTCAGAATATCAGAAACTATCTAATGCATAGCAACAGATGATGAGGTCACGAAGTCAAAATGTTAACCAAGCAAAGGAACGATCTGCAGCTGTACAAGGATAAAACCCCTTATGAATGGATAAATAATAATCACTAAGATATAATAAAATGCTATATGAAAAGCAACTGCAGAATATTGTGTGATAAGTGCCCATTATCACACAAAAGCGGGGAAAAGAATGGATGTGAGTGGCTGCTCTAAACACCTAACTCCAGTTACTGCTGGGGAGGGGAACAAGTTAACTACAGAGGGGTGCATGGGAGGACTTTTTCCATATATCCACTAAACGGTGTTAATATATGACCAAATGAACAAAACCCAGTAATGATAGAAGAACATTACTGGGAGAGGTGCATATTTCTTTGTTAGACCTACTTGGCTTCAAGCTCATTCTGATGTCCATTGCTTGTCCACCTTAAATTCAAAGCAGTTGCCAACCCCAGGCCTTACCTATTTGGCAGAGGAGGCTACTCACTCCAGACCTCAGTGAGCAATGAAACACTTCTTGGCTCAGCTATTCAATGGCATGCTTGCTGGTTCAGCATCATGACTTTATTCTCAAGCATAAAGTAGCAGTAAAGGATTTTACCATCCAAGGAGCAAGAGAAAACTAGTCTATCTCCACAGACACTTCCACCAAAATAAAGCTGTTATTTTGCCACTGTTACAAGACTAAGTGTTAATGATCCTCCTGGACACATAAGTGCATTTGTTAAATGTCAAGGATAAAGTCCATGAAGTACAGGAACACAATTATTATTATCATGATTGCTAGGTCATGTTCCTAGGTTTTATGGCCACCCTGTATATTTATCGTTTTCCATCCCCTTCCCTGGTAGACATAATTTATCCTTAGCAGATAGACATCAGAAGTTAGTAAAACTTCCCTCTTTTATGAGAAAAGAAAACAAAAATATAAAAAAGAACCTTATTTGGAATGGAAATATACCCGCTGCATTGTCAGCAATGAGTGGGATACTATTTATTACCAAGCAGCTAAATTTATCATCCTTGAAGAATGCTGAGAAAGGAAGAAATGCCTTCCTGGGTGGTTAAAGGATGTGTGCATTCTGAGAACAGCCTGGAAAGCTGTCAATGCCTAAGAGGCAGAAGTTACGTGCATGGTATTTGTGGTGGACTGTGGGCACATGAAATCAATAATGTCTCTCTGCAAGAAGGGCCCTGAATTCTTCTTAGAGAGTAAAAATGGCCATTCAGGGCTTGAGGATGTGACTATGACACATGTGATCATTAAACATGATCATCAGAATGTGAACACAATAGTCAAAGTCCATATTCTTTCTGTGCACAGAAATCAAATCTAATCCAACCCATGGGACAAACTGAGCTTTTTCATATTTACATAAATTCAATCACTGGTTCTTCATGAATTTTAGGTGAATGAAGATTGTAAAGCCCAGTTACCAAAAAGGTTTTCATTAAGAGACTAGTCTTTGGCATTATTAAACCATTAATCTTCATTAAATGCATCGATTAATCTTTGCAACTAGATGTGAAATTCTTCCAAATTTCTTCAAAGTTAGTGATAAATTGGAACGATTTCATTAATGACCTACAATGTGACCTACATGGAGAAGCTAATAGTGACAAGAGAGGCAAGAGCATAAGAGATGTCTAGTCTTTCCTAAGGCCATTTTGGTCTGCCACAGCAGGACGTGTAAGACTTCTCATCTCTATCTGATATACACTTGAGATTTACCATCCTTAGATCTAAGGATCTAAGCCAAGCAGAGTGGTGGGTTACTTCTGATCAGAGCTAACTACCATTCCCCTCATTCAACAACCACAGCCAGAGCTACGTACACTCTTCACTCTCTACTGCAGCATAATTGCCCACTTCTTTGAAGCTGATGTTTCCCAGGTGGAGAACCCCTGCCACTATCTGCAACACCAGCGTTTGCTCTTCTGCGAAGATCCCAATCACATTCATGGCATGCTGAAAGAGAAAAGAGAGATTATCCAGACAAGCTGGTCACCAACTTCATAAGCATATAACCAAGAAGCATGAACTGACTTGAAGAGTTACAGTAGACATGGTTAGCTTGTGATGGCAGTGGAAAGTCCCCAATGCGATCACTGATCGGTGTACTTGCACACATTCTTCTCAGAAGTTGGAAGGGCAGTTCTATCTTTAAACACAGCATTCCATACTCCAGGAATAAGGGAAGGAGGGCTCCAGAGGAAAGACACTCAGGGGAGTGGCAGCTGGGCACAAGTCCCCAGGGCCAGCCTCTTCCTGGGGTTGCCAACTCACCCCTCCAAGGGCACTGCTGCCCCCATGCCAGCCACTCCCACTAGTCAAGAGATCATTCCCTTCTGGGAGGAATGAGAACAGATTATACTTGCAAAGGAATTTTAATTGAAAATCTCCAGGAAATCAAAGCACCATTAAAAAAAGCCTAGTTTCTGATGTCCATCAAATTCTATGAAAGATAGATGCACTATATGCATGTTGGCTTTCCATACTCTGAGAGAGCTCTACTCTAAGACCAGTGTGCAGGTCTTCACACCAGTTGTGAAGGCCCATCAGCAAAAAAAGTGTGCATGTAAGTGAATTGCCCACAATAGGTTTTACCTGATTATCAGAGCTCCTACAGAGGGACAAGGATGAACTCACTTTTTCACCCATTTCAAATCATTAAGTTGTCCTCAGGCCACTGGGCACATGACCATTTAAAGTTGTTGAAAGATAGGTCTTAAACAAGGCATGCTTACAGTGGCACAAAGTAGCAGGTCACCTGCTCTCTGCTTTGGTGACCTTTACTGCCCTTTATGCCACAGGTGATGCCCAGCTGGAGAGGAGATTTTGCCTGGCCCTGTGCTGGTACTTACCAGAGTTTCTTGGAACTCCCGCTTGTCATCGATGTCATCAACCTTGTATGACCCGGAAAGGCTCAGGTAGTAATAATAATCCATGCTAGTGATACCAAGGCTATGCTTCTGCTCCGCAGAGGCCCCCTCGATGAGCTGCAGTGACAGAACATGACATGTACTATGATGTGGCCCACAAGGCACCCACAGTGACCCCATAGTTCCTGCTATGACCATGACTGAGCCCAGGCAGAAAGGACTTTCTGCCCTGCTTTCTCAATATATGGGTTGTTCCACTGTCCAAAATATGAAGGGACTTGTGAATATCTTATTTACTTGTAGTCCCAAACCATCTCTGCAAATTCTTTTTGGTACTGGGATTTAACCCAAGGTGCTTTACCACTGAGCCACATCCCCAGACCTTTTTATTTTTTGAGATAGGTCTTGCTAAGTTCCTTAGGGTATAAGTTGCTGAGGCTGGTCTTAAACTTTTGATCCTCCTGCCTCAGCCTCCAAGTCGCTGGGATTATACAGGCATGCACCAACTGCAGGCTTGTGGCAAATTTTAATTCTTTTTTTTTTTTTTTTTTTTTTATATCTTTATTTTACATTTATGTGGTGCTGAGGATTGAACCCAGTGCCTCTTGCATGTTAGGCAAACGCTCTACCACTGAGCCACAACCCCAGGCCCGCAAATTTTAATTCTTAATTCTAATAAAACCTGTAACAGCTGAGGATCTTGTCCAGTGAAAAAAATTGTACTGCTACAGTTGTGATCCTTTGAAAGAGTAGAAAGCAAAACAGATTGCCACCACTAAATTCCTGCCTGAGTTGCTTCTGAATTTTTAAAGTGGAACTGGTTCCCCCATCCTTCTCCCTACAGGGTGCATACTGAAAAACGTGGAGCTCCCGCTCTATGAGAGTCTGATCACTGACTGTCCTTTGACTTCTTGTTCCAGCACTGATGTCTGCCTTAACTCTGAACTCCAACCAATGGTGTTGGAAAAGTTTTAACGATCAACTCCTGGGAGGAAAAAACCATTTACATACAGTGTTTGCCCAATATTCGTGGTTGAAATTAGTCCCAATGGGAGCATACCTATCAAAGAAATGTCACAAAAGAGGTGGGAAGAAATGCATACATCCTGTGCAAGCCATCTCCAGGACACTATGGCATGAACCCAACAAACAATATTGAGATGATGGAAAGTTTGCCCCCTGACCCATGCTGGGGGTCAAACCCAGGGCCTCAATGCAATGTAAGCAATATTCAGAAAAACAGAGAGCTCCTAGCTTTGCTTCTCCATCTCTGTCAAGTTCCTCATGCGGTCTTAGCTCCCCTGTGGCAAATAGGTGGCCTCAGCGGCATTATTGAAAAATTCCAGGACAACCTGTGACATCAGGTTCCCTTTGTTGTGTTTTTTTTTCCCTGTCTACTGAAAATGTTTGGTGACACTCCTTTCTTTCCCTACTCCCCATGTCGTGACACCCCCCTCCACAGAAAATCTTAAGCTTCTCCAGAGATCTTCACTATAATTGATTGTAGGACTATCAGCAAAAGAATTTCTGCAAGAGAGTTCAATATAGTTAAACTTCCTGTTTCCTGTTGCTCTATCTTACTTCACCAGCCAAAAGAGATCAGCACTTCAGGTGCTAGTTTTTCACAAATATTTATGGACTATCTAATACAAATAACAACATATATAATAGTTGGTAGAAGGGGTTTGCAAATGCAGAGTGTGATAAGAAAGACAGGTCCTTTAACAAGGCCTCTGGCCTTGAGCTGAGCTTCACAGACAAGTTTACACTTCAAAGATAGAGAAGATGTTACTAATGGGGCTCCAAGGTAACAGCTGGCCAGGGGAGGGAAGAAAGGGGAGAAGAAGCTCCCCCCTCCTCAGGCACTGTCCTTGAAGGGTTAACCTGCCCAGAACAGTGGAAGAAAAAGCTGTTTTTGTGTGAACTTCTGAGCCCCTCCCCTTACATGGTGGGTATAAAATTCTGAAACTGCCTGAACTCGGGGTTTGAGGGTTACTTGATTACAACGAAAGCTATAACCTCTGAACATGTCTGCAGCCAAATAAACCTGCTTCCTGTTTCCTATTTGGTGTCCTGCCTCATCTGTCCTCTATTCCACCCCCACCTGCAACAAAGAACGTTCCTCAGCTCTTTCAAACTTCTCCCTTCAGATCACATAGTCTTTCTCACTAGTATTTTCCAACTTCCCTTTCTCCAACTCACCTATCTACAAACATGGGGCTCTTTACCTTTGTTAAAAGCTTTTCTTTGACTCTGAACTTCCTCAGGGTGCATAATCTACTTCCTCTCTGATTTAATTACTCCTGAATTTTTAAAGTGGAGCTGGCCTCCCCACTCTTCTCACTATAGGGTGCACACTAAAAAACTTGTAGCTACATTTCACCATCTTTCCTTACCACTATGGCAAAATTCCTCTCCTGCCCACTTTCCAGTAGCTAAGCCAATTCTTAGTCCTCAGATCCCTGGCCAGCCCCATTCCCCTCCAGAGCACAGAGCATTAGAACCGGGGTGGCCCATCCCCCTGAGACTTCCCTTGGCTTTGGGGACACATCCGGATCCTGGGCTTCCTTGTTTTCCTCTCACTACCTTCATGCCTCTCATCTGTGGAGGACCTAGGCATCTCTGGGTCCTGCATGGGCATTATTTTTCTCTCCACACTTACTCCCATGGAGTTTCATCTATTTCACATCTTTGAGGGTTAGTGTTTGTCAAACTCTGATACCCCTGAGCTCTCTGTCCCCAGCCTCTATTTTGGTATTTTTTGATCTGCCTCCTAGAGGTGGGTGGGGCCTGCATTTATTGAAAGGGATCCTGACATCCATTAAACACTTCTGTCTAGTACTCGATAAATAACATATTTGCTGTGTGTGATATGCACAACCATTTTCATTCACTTCATAAATATTGCTTTGATTAATACAATTACATGCATAACTGAACTCAGAGAGGCTTTTGGTCATTTATGTACTTTTTCAACCAACAGACACCAACCAAAAGAATGATCTGCCATCATTAAAAACATCTTGTGGCCAGGCATGGTAGCACACGCAAGTAATCCCAGCAGCTCAGAGGGCTGAGGCAGGAGGATTGCAAATTCAAAGCCAGCCTCAGCAATCACGAGGCACTAACCAGCTCAGTGAAACCCTGTCTCTAAATAATACAAAATAGGGCTGGGAATATGGCTCAGTGGTTGAGTGCCCCTGAGTTCAATCCCTGGTACCAAAAAACCCTCCAAAAAAACCATCTGTGCATTGAAGAGATTGTTAGTTACTCTCAAGGATCAACTTCCTTCTAATCCAGTGATCTTCAAACCCAAAACAAAACAGTTACCAGGCCTTTCTTCAAGAAAACTAATATGGACCCCTAATATAAAGATATTAATAAGTAAACCCAAACATTAATAATTGATAGGACATCGTTATATTTTTAAATACTTAAAAATATTTTTAATACAGCTGATTCATATGGTTGTTGAAGACTGGAACATGATTTTAAAAGCATCCTGTACACTGCTCTGACCCCAAACTGTCCCTGGCTTCTAATGGTCTGAAAGGAAACTTTCTGAGCTGGCATTAAAGATCAGTTCTCCTCTCCAACAGTCCACCTGCTGAAAAGTCTGCCCTGCAAGCTGGCTGAGGCTGGCTCATGAACTGGCTTTTACCTCTCTGGCTTTTGGTTCAGTCACCCAACTTCCCTGATAGGTGCCCTCTCCACTCTCTACCCAGGGCTTTCCCCACCTTAACATCTCCCCTTTACCATCCTGGCCAAATCTCTCCATATGAATTCCCATTTGGCAAAGAAACAAACACTCCTACTTCTGTTTTGAAGTTATGTCAACATTTTTTTGATTATTTAACTTTCAGGGAATTTGCCTTGTCACTCCAATTAGAACTTATTTCCCTTGATGGCAGGGACATTTTTAAGATCCTGCATATGGTAGTAATGAAGTCTCTTCAGCTTGTTAAACTGTCTACACTTGAGGACTGAGAGAAAAAAAAATAAATAAATATATATTAATATGGAGGAAAAATAAATGGGAAAGAAAAGATATAAAGGGAAACCTGGTAAAATATGTGAAAACTCCGCTCTCCAGGGTTCCTCATCACCACCCTAGATTTTTCCAGAAGGAAGTTGGAGATCTTTCCACCATCTGGTTCCCCACCTGGACTGAACTGGATTTCAAAGTATTTTCCCTGCAAGAAAGTTAGGGATTTCCTTTAATGGTTGGTAAACAAAAACATAATGCTGCAAATAGGTTTTGAATACAGTATATAATTCAAGGAAATTCATAAATGAGAGACATGTTCTGAATTATTCCTAATTCTGGCCTAGACTTCCTCAATTTTTCATATCAAACAATAACCTGAGCTTCTGTCCAATCACACAGTTCTGCATTCAGAGAGAATCAATCCTTCCAACCAGACTAAATAAGGATATGCTATATTCCCTGCCCATTTTCCTCCAGTAGTTACTTGCCTGCTCAACCAAAAGGTATAAAGAATGGGCCAGAAAATCCCTTGGTACACTTAATCTAACAACAGTGAACTCTGCCAACTTGTTTCAGAGGAAGCGAATTTCCCCTCTGGCAGGAGGTGAGGGGGAAAGGATGTGTACAGCCCATCTATACTTTTCCCATCCTTCCAGTGGGATTATATGAAATTTTGTAATCAGATAGATAGTAAATGATGAGTTTTTGTTTTATTTTGTCCTGCTCTCTAAGGAAGGCAAAGGAATGGATGAAGGGTAGCTAGAGGGCTGAATCTCATCGATTCCACTTTTATGAGGCAGGTTAAGAATGACAATTAGGGAAAAAAGGTCAAGCGGAAAATATGTTCACATTTTCTTTCTTATTCTATCACCTAGAAACTTCAGGATAAAACAACCCGGCACTAGCCAAAAGATATGAGAGATAAACAAAGGAGCAAATATTCTGAATAATCCTGGGGAACAAGGAAAGTGAAGGTGAGCCTGATTGACACAATCCACCAGGGAACTTGACAATTATTGCATGAGAACATGGTGAAGCTTCTCTTGGAAACAGAAACTTCCTTCCAAAATAAAGAGTAAAAAAGAAATTGTTTTTCTCTGAATTTCCCACTATTTATTTAAAAATGGCCCAGTATCAGCCTCACAGATGGCTCCTCACGTGTTTTAGTGCCAGACATAATCTATGGTGAAATAAGATGCAAAATCTATATAAATCAGGCTATGGGGTAAGCATTTGTTTCTTTGTAAATGTGGCTTTCTATCAAGGGGATTTTATTCCTGTTCTCTAATCTACCACCTCAGGAGACACCCAGACAGAAAAATGTGGAAATGGGCATTCAGAACAATGCATGGGTTGACATTTTTGTAACCTTGGGTACATAAGCCAGTGAGGAGGCACTCTGTGAGGCTAGGTCCAGTCACTTCTGAACCCATAAAGTGAATGCATAAAGCCAGAGAGGCTGGGTGTGCAGTCAGCTCACTCTGACAGGGGAGGAAGTTTCTCTCCATGCAACCAGTCAGTCCAAGGATCTGCTCCTTTCACAGACCAAGCTCTGAGGAGCAAAATCATTGCTGGTGGGCAGTGATCTCTGAGATACCTATTGATTCCATTCATTTCTCTAGGGAACAAGCAAAACTCCTCAGGAACCAAATCCACCACTTTCATCAATTTTTATTTCTTCAGTAAGGCAACTGCTTTTGAAATTATCTAGTTTGCATCCTTGAAGCTCAAAAATAACTTTAGTCAAAGATTAAATTGGAGCTTGATAACATGCTGCTTTAGAAAATAAAGGGGAAATTGACAAGGTGGCTTCCTGATGATATGTGAAATGCTCTTATTTCCTTTGGGACCTAGGACTTAAGGTAAGAGCATCAACATCATCAATTAGGCAAATTTCTCTGAAACAGGGATGAGACTTACAAATCTGCTGGAGTTGTTGTTTCGGACAGTCTTGGCATTCCCAAAGGCCTCCAGCAGCGGATTGGACTGCAGGATGATGTCCTTCACATGCTGTCACAGCAAACAGACCACAGGTTAAGGAGGTGCAGACACCTGCCACACATGCGAAGCTGCACTTTCCCTAATGTCCTAGTTTCTGAATGCTGTAAGGAGAGAAGCCCCAAGTCATGTATCCCTGGGAATTTCTCGAGAATCTATTCTTTCATGGCAACAGATCTCACCCTGTATGTGCGACTGGGTCTCCCAACTCCCTTGGCTTGATGCAGGATCCCCAGGAGCCAGGTTGCCACTAATAAAGCAGAATCCACAAATGTTCCTGATCTGGACCTCTAGCTAGTGTGGCTACAGCTTCACTCTGCACTTCTGAGTGTGCCAGGAGTCACAGCAAGTAAGAAAGTGAAGCAACAAGGGGCATCTCCTTGCTGTTGTGATTAGTTTTTCTGATCATGGCCCTTCCCAGCTCCTCCCCTGCTCAACTACAAGCAAAAGCTACCTTAAGGGAAAATTAATTAGTATCTCCTCCTCAAAGTTTTAGAAATATAATCTGGTGTTCCTCAAACTTTAATGTGCATGAATCATCTATGGATTTTGTTAAAATGCAGATGTGGATTTAGCAGGTCTGGGGCATGATCCAAGAACCTGCATTTCTAACCAGCTCCCTGGTGCTGCTGGTTTTGCCAGCATGGATCCACACTTGGGCCAATGCTGGATTTTGTGAAATAAGTCCTAGTCTCCTAGAGGGGAAGAATTTGGTTTTCAAAACACCCAAGTTCTATGCCAGACTTAAAAGTGTGCAAAACACACCACGGACATAAGACAGTTCAATAGATAGGATTTGATGCTGGAGAGGTCTTTCAACAATGAGTCATTCCTTGTACTTCTAATTATTCACATGCTATGGTTAAACATGTTCCAGAAATAACAAGTCTTCTGGCTTATGCTCTTTAGCTACTGACTAATTCTAAGCCAAGAGCTCTGTATCACTGTCCTCATAGGAAAACAGGAAGAGAAAAATCAACATTAACCGTCTGCAATCCGACCACTAGGTCATGGGCTGTGGCAAACAGGACTAAATAAGGCACTCAAGACGAATCGACCATTTAACAGCCAAAGTGCTCCCTCGGCACCCATCTGAATATTCAGAAGATTAGGTATCTCAAGAAATGAGGACTGGTTCCGTCCAACTTTGGAATCATTGATAGCAATGGCACCAAGGGCAAATTCTGGGTGGTCCCTCCATGGGGTCAAACTCAGAAAAATATTTCCAATCTGTCTAGTCCTTAAAAACTCGTGAATCATTATAAAATTTGCTTTTCTTTGTAAAATAAATTTTGAGTTTATGGATCTTCTGTCTTCTGTTTGCTGGCTAGATGTGCCTACACCACTCAAAGCTCTCAGCTCCTCTTAGGAAAGGAATGAGTGGAAGGCTCTTCTATCTCTTCCCTTCTTTGATTAGAAACTGTTGTTGTTTTTGTTGCTGCTGCTTCTGCTGCTGCTGTTACAATTGTTTGTTTTTGTGGTGTTGGGGATTAAGGCAAGAGCTCAAGCCTCCAGGTCTAATCAGAGACTTTTAAAGTGAGTATGGTTTTGCATGTATGAACTTATGAACTATCAGTGATGTCCAACAGAATTGGAAGCATGTGATGAAGTTATCAAGGAAAAGAGAAAGAATAAATTAAAGAGCAGCCCACTAACAAAATAGCATTCTGATTCCTGCCTCCACATTGGCCCTCTAAGGACAGAGTCATGTGAATAGAGAAAAGCAAGAGGACTGAACCACACCAGACTCACGGGTTGAAGGCTTGATTCCAAATACAGTGGTGTTAGAGGTGGGCTTTTTGAAAACGTTTAAATCATGAGGCTCTGATCCATTAATCCATTGATGAATTAATGATCTGAATGGATTACTGGGAAGTGAAGAAACTGCAGGAGGTGGGACCTAGTTGAAGAGAGTGGGTCCTTCTTGGGAGCATACACTTGGGAACTATTATCTTGTCCCTAGGCGCCTCTCTCTCTCTCTCTCTCTCCCCCTCATCTGTCTCTCTCTCTCTCTCTGCTTTCTGGCTTCCATGAGGTGAGCAGCTTTCCTCTGTTATGCCCTTCCACCATGATGCCCTGCCTTAACCGCAGGCCCAGAGCAATGGAGCCAGTTGACTGAGGACTGAGCCTCTGAAACTGTGAATCAAAATAAATCTTTCTCCTAAAGTTGTTTTTTCTCCAGTATTTTGTTACAGTGATGAAAAGCTGAACACAGTTGGTTTAAATAAAACATTTAAAAATTAATTTCATCGGTTTCATTTTACTTTTTGTAAATATGGCTACTTAGTAAACTTAGAATTATAGGCATTACTTGCATTCACCTCCTCCTGGACAGAGCTAATTGCTCTAGAGTTTCCTTTTTCTTCAGAGAAAGAGGTCCTACTGAGACCCTTTCAGTTTACATAAGAAAATATGGACCTTAAAATCCTTAAGCTTTCTGGTCTACTAGGTCATTTAAGTAGTAAATTAATAATCAGCAAACTAATTAATAAAAAAATTTAATTTATCTTTTTTTTTAAAAGTCTACAGTTCACCATGGCAATAACATTCCTTATTAAATGATTCTGATTTTTAAAAATTAATCTTTAGAATTGATTCTACTTTGGAATAAGAATTATAATTTTTAAAAGTTCACCAGCACTGTGTGCAGTGAAGAGCACTATACTTTGGGACAGTCCCCTCTAAACCTTAGCTCCTGATCACCATCACCCCCTGCTCCTTGGGGAGCTGGCTTTACTAGCTTCTGTCATTGTTGATTCTGCTACCACAATCAGTGACAGAGAATAGATGAAGCTGATCTACCCAGTTCATCTCTCTATCTTCCTGACTCTGTTGCTTCTCTGCCAGGGAATTCTCCTTATCTTCTCATCTGTTGTGAATTTTCTGATGTTTTCTTCATATTCGCTAATCATTCCTTCTTCTTTTCTCTTTTCCCTTTCTTTTAAAATTTATAAATTTCTTGAATTGGCAATTTGTTCAGAGTCCAATATAAGTATGTGAAGGGTGTACAGGAAGAGTACAGCCTCTCCCAGTCTCCCAGTGCCTTCCCTAAAGACAACCTATTTCTTGGGTATCCTTCCAGGGAGATGTAATGCATATCCAAATAAATACTGATGCATACTCATTTTTCCTCATATTATATAGAGGGTTTGGAACCTTGCTTTTTGCAATTAATGAATATATCTTGGAGATCATTTCATAGAACAACATGAAGTCTCATTTTTATGGCTGTATAAAAATCTAATATATGACAAACCACAAATTATTTCACTAGTTGCTTATAGATGAGCATTTGTTTCCAGTTTTCTGCATTACCAGAAAATGCCACATATAATTTTATATATGTATCATTTTGCATACCTTTCAGCGTAGCTGAAGGATAAATCAAGACATGCACAGTGGCTAATGCCTGTAATCCCTGTTACTTTGGAGGCTGAGGTGGAAGGATTGTAGGTTTGAGGTCAGCCTTGGCAACTTAGCTAAGCCCTGTCTCAAAAAAAGAAGAAATCATTTTAACAGAACTACTGAGTCAAAGGGAGCATGTGTATAAATTTGATAGATTTTTCTGAAATGCCCTCATGAAATAAAGTATACTATACTAGTTCATGTTCCTGCCAGAGCAACACATGAGAATGACTATGTTCTCATGTTCTTGCCAAGAGAGTTTAAAACACTACAAGAATTTTGTCAATCTAGTAGGTAAAAATACAGGTTTTTTTTTTTTTTTTTTTTTTTGTAGTTTTGTTTCTTATTATCATGACAATATGAGCATATCTTCATGTTTGATTAGTAATTTATACTTCATTTTCTATGAGATATGGTTTGTTTATTTTCCTTTTGGACTGTTTTTATTGATTTGCAGAAGCTGGCATGTCTATCTCAAAATGATATTTTTTTACAGACTTCCTGTTTCTTGGTTATAGAACCTTTTCCATGTTAAAAAAAAATTCTTTTAAAAATAGCACATGGGATCTTTCACATTTCCAAATAACACAAGGTCTCAAAATGGGTCATTACCAACTTACCTGGACTTTGGGGCCTCCTCCAGACACTCTGGAGATATAACTCATGATGTATTTGGCAGCCACTGTCTTTCCAGCACCACTCTCACCACTGAGGAAAGAAAGACAAAAATGTCCACCAGTGAAGTAGATCATGACCAGCTCCTTCACCCACCCCAACAAATAAAAAGAAAACAAGTGACAAGAAATTCAGCAAAAATATGTACATTATGGGTCCTGAAAGGCAAACCATGCAGGATGAGGTCACCCTCATGGCTATGTGAGCAACATGACGCTAATTAGAGTCTTGCTAATTACCATTCTGCACAGGACAGACACTTAAGCATTCTAACTACTCAATAATAGGGAACATGATTAAGAAAATTAGGGAACATGAGAAGGATAGAATTCTGCAGAAATTATAATGGCCGTCCATTAAGCTTTCTGATCTACTAGATCATAATGTAGCACCATTTAAGTAGTAAATTAATAATTAGCAAACTAATTAATAAAAAAACATGTAAACATGGGGGGAAGGGATAGGAAGTACTGTTAGATTCAAACTACCTTCAAAACATCATTACAAAAATATGTTTAGGTAGTACAGTAGTTTAAGCCTTGAATTCCAGCAACTCAGGAGGCTGAGGCAGGAAATCTCAAGTTTAAGGTCAATCTCATCATCTTAGCAAAGCCCTAAGCAATTCAGTGAGATCCTGTTCAAAATAAAAAATAAGGCCTGGGGATATAGCTCAGTTGGTAGAGTGCCTCCTTGCCATGCACAAGGCTCTGGGTTTAATCCCCAGCACCACAAAAACAAACAAACAAATAAAATAAAAAAGGGCTGGGAATACAGCTCAGTGGTAAAGTGTCCCTGGGTTCAATTCCCAGTAAAATAGATAGATAATTTTTTTTTTTTTAAATTAAAGGGCTGGGAGTGTAAAATGCTTGCCTAGTATGGGTGAAGCCCTGAATTTAATCCCCAACACCACAAAATAAATGAATAAAAATAAAATAATATATTTATAAAAACAAGACTAGAAGTATTACAAAATATTAGCAGAAATTTGGGTCCTAGCCAGGAGACCATGGGAGACTTTTTCAGTTTATTATTCTCCAAACTTTTTGTAACAATATGTTACTTTTGTAATTAAAAAGAAAAAAGACAAAGTAGGCACTCTGAGATTTCAAACTGTGCCTTGAACAAGCTTCCTTATTTTAGAAGTTCTAAAATTAAATGATGAGGCAATATTAATCACATCCTGAGTAACAGACTACCTTCCGTTTGGTAGCTTAACTGCCTTTGTTAATAGTCTGCTCTTCAAAATCCCCGTTTTTTTCCTTCAAAATCCCCTGAATTAATAATTCAAAAACATGATGAAGTCAGATTTCTCATTTTCCTATTGGTAGGCTTTGTGTTGCCATGATAGAATTATACCATATAAAATGTTGGAGGACTTCATATGAAAAACAAAACAAAACAGGATGCTACGAGTTCATAAGACAATATAGCTGTTTGTGCTAGGTGACAAGAATTTGGTGGTACACCACAAATGTTCTCCTATGAACACCCAGCCTGATGAACTGTCATCAATTTCTGAGTTACCTGTGAGAAGAGGAAACTCTGACTAGGGTACAAAATCAAGCAAGTTAATCCCCCAGCCCCAAGTGGAAACTGGAATCAATATTGAAATAATTTGATATCTCAAAGCCAAACAAAACAAAATTAAAATAGCCATTTCCCAAAAGTCAGAACTTTGTTGGATTTCTTTGAACTAATACATAGTATGTTTAAGAAAAAAGCTTAGGTGAGAAGCAAGGGAGCCATGTTCTACTTAGGACTTGTGACCTCTGAAGTACTGAATCCATCTATGCAATTCATGTCAGGCCTGAGCTCCCAGGCTTCTTGGTCATGTGAACAGGGAAGCCAAACTGAAATTTCATAAGATACAATGTCAAGTAGAAACCCAGAATCTGGGATGAGGTGTCAGGCTGTTTACAGAGGATATGCCTTCCCCATGAGGAAATTATTCCTTTAAATGGTCAACATAATCAAAAGATTTATATACTAGATACACTTAATACATGCACTCTCTCTCATTTGAAGCTCAAGTTTTGTCAACAATAAAACTTCATTTTCTAAGCTATAACAAGGTAAACATTCAATATTGGAAAATCCAGGAGTACAAAGGCACAACCACCAGTGTAACATTACACAGACATTTAAAATAATTATAAAGACTTCGAGGCAACAAAAAAGACAGTGTAGCTAAGGTTAAGTGGCAATCTGAGCAGAAGATTATGTATCTACATCATCTTTCTAACTATGTAAAAGTAATGTGGGAAAAAACTGAAATGGAAAAAGAAAACAAATGATATTTCTGACTTGTTAAGGAAGCTGGTTGACAATTCTTTTTTTTTTTTCCCTTGATGTGATTTCTCCTACTGTTCATATTGTTTTCTCTTTTTAGACAAGCAATCACACATGTATTTCAGATTTTTTAAAACAGCTTTTCCAGAAAAAAAAGAGGGATCACATCACAAGATAATCAATATGCATCAATTCTATTACATTATTATTAAACTTCCCTCATATCACTATGAGGAAACATTTTCTAGTACATTTTCCTTTGTTTTTTGGTTTATTTTGGTACTGGGGAGTGAACTCAGGGTGCTAAACCACTGAGCCACATCCTCAGGATTTTTTTATTTTTATTTTTTTTAATTTTGAGACAAGCTCTCACTAAGTTGCTGAGGGCCTAACTAGTTTGCTGAGGCTGGCTTTGAACTTGTGATCCTCTTGCCTCCAACAAGTGTTTGTTTGTTTTCTTGTTTTATGGGGCTAGGGATTGAACCCAGGGTCTTATGCATGTGAGGCCAGCACTCTACCCACTGAGCATATCCCCAGCCCTCATAGAACAAGTTTTAAGAGAGAAAGAAAGAAACCCAGAAAAATCCTAGTAGAATTATAAAATAAAAGTTTAGCTATTCACCCCGACACTGCCTTTAATATTATGATCAAACATGAAGTATGTATCTCTTTTGTTAGAGGCAAAAGAAAAGAGTAATGGGAAGTTAAATAACTATTCTCTTATATTAACATAAGTATGTCAGGTCCAAAAAATAGGACATCTACGTTCCCAGTAACTGTGATCTTTTTCAGTAGATTTAAAATAATTAGTTCTGGCTGAACATTGATGTGCGGAATTTTTATTTCTCAGTTTCAATTTACAGATACTTAAGTTTCATTAATCACAGCCGGTAATTTGCTCAAACTATCATACAATGATGAGATGTTAGATAATTACCTGAATTTTATAGGATACGCAACAAGAATCATGCTGGCCTATAAGGGAGGGCAAATGCTGTTTCTTCCCCTGGACTAAAACCCAAGTGAAAAGAAGGTGAAGTTATCAGGCAGATTATACAGAATAACCCTGAATTATTTACTTTGCATCTCACAGCAATTAGAACAATTTGTAGCCTTTCCTGATTTAATTAGCTTTAGTGGACTTCTAAAGAAAACAAAACAAAACAAAACCAAGTCCAGAAATTAGGAAAATGTACCATGCTAGATTAATAGCTGGATTCAGGGAGTATGATTATTTCTTTGAGTCAGGTTAAACCTGATCAGCCTTTCAGAATCCTGGAGTATTTTAAAAATGCCCATGGTCAAGACCCTTCTCCAACCTGCTGAAAGTTAATCTCTAAGAATAGTTTCTAGAAATAGGAATTTTTAACTAACACCCTAGTTTGGAATAAACCTTGTTGGGAACCAGCCCAGCACTTTAAAACCAAATATAAGAAATATTAATTCAAGTAGAAAATAATGTAATGTTTGTGCATGTTAGCTTTAGAAATGGAAACATGCACTAAAATTTCAAAGAAAAAGTGTTCTTGGAGAAAAAGCTATATAATAGTATATTAATAATTGGATGGAAGGACTATAATGGTTTATCTGAGTTAGAAGGTTATTCCTCACGTAGTCACCAATAGTGTTTCCAATTCGTTTTGATTTATTCTAGCAAAAGTAAAAATAGAGCTGAGGCTGTGCCTCAGTGGTACAGTGCTTGCCTGGGATGCATGAGGCACTGGGTTCAATCCTCACCACCACATACAAATAAAATAAAGGTATTATGTCCACTTACATCTAAAATAATACATATTTTTTTAAAAAAAGTAAAAATTTTTGCTTTTGGCCCACCCTTCTTCCCACTACTGGAAACTCACCAGTCTACTCCCATCACTTCATTCCTGGTTTCAGAATACTTCTACTGGTTCTCCATCCTGGTAGCTACTGTTTCCTTGTAGCTGACTTAGTGTAACTGAAATGTTGCTTTTTTTGCACTTTAGAAAGGACAAAAACTTAAAGCAAAAATTCTGCGTGTACTTGTTCACCTTCTATGCATGTTCTAGGCCCCTCCACATGGTAAGCTGTGGTCACAGTGAGACATAGCTCTTGCCCAAGAGGAGCTCACTGCGTGATGGAGCCTGAGTGTACACAGGCTATCCACAACATAATGGAGATGTGGGCATGGTTTTAAGGAGTACCAACAGGAGGCACGAGAGGAAAAGACAGAAAAGTCCTACAAGCAGGGACACATCAGCATCAGCGAGCACTTGAAGCCCCAGGTCTTGGCCTCAATTACTCTTCATTAAAAGGAACCAGGGCTTCTTTGGAAAAATGGCCAATGCCAGGGCCAAAGTGGGGAAAATACAAGGTGGGTCTGATATATATATAAAATTATGCCCCAAACTAAGGAAATGTCCAGCAACTGATGTGAACATATCAAGCACCTAAGAACCAGTTTGGTCAAATCAAGAGAAATAATAATACTGGATTATGATCTTTGGAATAAAATAGAAGACCCTAAATCCATATTGCTATAAAAAATGAATCAAACAACAAATAGGGGACACAGGAAAGCTCTTTCTCATGATAGAACACTAACAAATAAGTGTGGAAGGAATGATGGGAAAAGACTGCCACACTTGGCCACCATCACACAGAAGACCAGTTTGGGCAGGAGTCTTCTGTGGATGGTGAGTGAGCCTAGTGGGTGGAGCTTTGAAGAGGAGCAGGATGTCGTCATAATCTCAGAAGACATCCCCACA